CTTGACTGCACATTCACCTGTGCTCCCACAGTTAAATTCAGTCAAGACATTTCTGGTTTGATTGAACCACAAAGGGACTGTGAGATGGATAGAAAACGAGACGTGCGCTGACCTGTCACTTCAACACCCTCTGCATCCACTCCTGGGCCCCTTCCCTTCCTGACCCCTGCCTGTGCAGTCTGCTCTCCCTGGGCAGCATCAGACAGCCACAGCCCAGTCTCCAGCCCAGCCCTCCTGTTCCTCATCCACACATACAGCCGGTCACTTTTCTCCCATCACCACTTGACTTCTTTTGCACAGCAATAGCAGGCCCTCCTGTGTCTGTCCTGAATATATAAACTCGATAAACACTTGTAGTCATTATTCTCAAACACTTTAAATCCAACCACTACTACCACAAACTGGTATCTGGGGAGTCTTTATTCAGGCCTTAGGGTGCCATTTGATTCATCATGAAGATATTACATGAAACCTGCCACAGGTAATATGCTGAATAAGAGAGATGGAGCCCTAGAGTCCAGTAATCCAAACTGATGCATCCTAACAGACATTCATCTACAGAGACAAGGAGAAAATAATCCTCCATCACATGTCAGCATCTTCTTCCATCATCTTTCAGTAAACACTGATTTCTCTGCTCTGGGGTCATCCGTGGGGTCATTCTGGTTTTTTTAAGTTGATTTGTTGCAATGTGGCAATTTTTAGTCAAAGGAAGCATTACTTTAAACAAAATTTGAATTAATCAATATGCAATTACTTAGGGAAGCTGTAGCGGCCACACAAAGTCAGTTAGGGAACAGAGACTGGAAAAGTCATTCAGGTAATGAGCCCATGGATCTGGAGCAATAGCACATTTCATTATGGGAATAAATGGTTAAATTGAACATTATAGTGCTTCAAATTCATTACCACACATGGAAATAAATTATGTAGAATTAAAAGATGGCAAAAACTTTATAGATCCAAAATCAAAACTGTAATGTGAGATGGAGGCTGCAGCAGGATATCATTATCAAGGATGTCTGACAGCTAAGGCGAGCGACTAAGTGTGGTCAGAGGTCAATAGACTGCGCTCCATACCTTCTCTGAGAGAGCAGGGTGACATTACTGGTAACACAGACAAACTGTTCCTATCCAGCAGACAAGGGGTGCAGAACAGAAATACATGTAGGCCTCCCATCCATCATTCCTCCAACCAAAACAACATGAGCTAAGGAATGAAAGGGCTGTTTAACTAACCAGTTTACAAGAGTTATGGTACTCTTTCATCTAAGTCTCAGCCAGAAAAGAATCCCTTTAGCTAAAGCTAATGTTCATATCAGTGTCCATTAAAAAGTGATTAGTCTTACCAATTGTATATTCTGTTATAGCTTCCACAAAGGACATGATATTTTACAACAAACTAAGTGTATAATTTATAATATGTACTATAATTACTTACTATACAAAGTTAATATTGTGATGGAAGAGTGTGTGCTACTGAAGTGAAACCCATATACAGTAAAAGCCCGTCATCAGAGGGCTCATGCTGCAGGGACAAACCATAGAGACCTAGGTCCCTTTTGTCAACATACTACACCACACAATCAGGAATATGTTTAGGTGTTGCAGCAGTTCCAAAAAGAAGGGAATACCATCTAGGATCCTATCTTATTGCCATCTCCCCCACTCTTCCAATAACCAACAATTTCCACCACTCTCTGCTTCCTAGTCAGCTGCAAAATTACAGATTACAGATTTGCGTACAGTCCAGAGGGAAGTGAATCGCTGCAGGGGAGAGAGAGATTGAAGGAAAAGGCAAAAGATGGGAGGGTAAGTGTAATGGATAGGGAGAGCTGAGGAGGTAAAAAAAAAAAAAAATCTCAGGCCATTGGTAGTTTGCACAGACACTAAAATAGAGTATGGGCTGCTGAATGACAGCAGAGAGAGATGAGAAATGGCATATGCTAATTCAGGTTTATACATCTGAGATATCCCATAGGGGCCTGTTAATAATGTTGAGGCATAGTGACACTCAGGTGGCCCATGCTCATCACTGCCATAATGAAGAGAATATGCTAATGGAGTAGCTGACTCATCTGCTAGAGGAAAATTTAAACCAAGTAAACAACACCTTAGCTGACCCTATATGAGGTGAGCATAGATAAGATGGATACAATTTTCCTAATTGAACCTGTTTTGTGTGAAAGCGATCAGTTCGGCCAGGAGAGGATAAAGGTTAACCCAAATGCTCAGATCAATAGACTGAATAAATGCTTACACTGGCACAGTTGTGAGTGCTCACAAGACAGAAATAACTTCAGATGCTCCGCCCACACTCAAAAACTCCAGGAGAGATAATAAATAAAATGTGGAGTCACAGCATCGAGGGAATCTGCTGTGAACAGCACACATGAGCTTTACAGTAACCCTGCAGTGCATGTTAAGTTTTTATCATTTTTCCAGACACAAACATGCTATACTGTATACATAGAGTAGATGAGCAAGTGTACATGCACCCAAACAGAATTCACACACAAATGGTTTGTATGTTTTGCTTTAAGAGCAATATGTACAAATAAGTTGGATTTAAAGACAGAAGCGATAAGGATCATATGCTAATATGGCTGAGAGGGTAAAAGTGAGATTGTGCACATTTCTAGCATGTTTCATCGCTATAGCAACAGCCTTTGTACTTGTGGAGGGAAGTGGGTGGCAGAAAAAAAAAGAGCAAGACTGAGAGGAGTGATGGAGAGGGGGAGAGAGAGAGAGAGAAATTTTGGCTTGCTCCTCTCTCTTAGCAAGCTTTTACCAATCCAGTCCTCTGCCAACCTCAAGACCCTGGGGCTTTAAACAGTCAAGGTCACAGAAAAGACAAAAAATGAGCAACTTCTAAATGTGTACTCTGCATCCGGGAAAGGCGATAAGGAACAGTTCTGGCTCCTACAGACAGAGGGAGCCACCACTGTATTCACAGCATGTGTGTCATTATCCTGCACAAGACCCACTACATACAAGCAGGAGACTGGTGGCTCGGAAATACCCTTGAAGGGTCACAAATAACAACAGAGGCTTTAATCTTCAATATACGTCATTGGGACGGTTATATACTGCAAAAATTTAAGTTTCTGAGGAAGTAAAATATAACTTAATATCCACTTTTTCATATTGGAAGACCATAGTGAATGTGCTTCCTATTTTATATGCAAAAACTTCTAATCTCAAAACATTCAATCTTAAATTAAACGTTTATGCACACAGAACTGCTGTGATGGTGGGAATTACAATAACATCAATGTCAAAGTTAAATTACAATTCAGTTATATCCAACATCCACACACACAAGTGCACTTCTATCTTTGTGAGGACACTGACTAACATAATGTATTCCCTAGCCTCTTACCCTAATACTTAACCATCAGACCTAAATGCACCTAAACCACCTAACCTGAACCCTAAAACCACGTCTTAACCCTTTAAAAGGTGTTTCACAAAGTGAGGACCGGCCAAAATATCCTCACTTTCTAAAAATGTCCTCATTCTGTAGCAAAAAAACCCAAACATTTTAGGTCCTCACTATATAACAAGTACAAGAACACACAGATCTGTGAAGGATAACCTTGAATCACAAAATCAATGTATCTGTGTGTTTAGAGAGACAACCCAGAGGTATCGGAGTGACCATCAAATTAGATAAGGTTATTAATGATCCCTTTGTTTTGTAGAAACCTCAGTCTGCAGTTAATCTCTTAGAAACTAGACCCCCCAAATCCCCATCCACAGCTACTATCATCATATGTCCTTTCAAAATCTTGTGAGACAGCTCTAAAAGCTTTGGTGCCTTGTGTAAAGCTGACTGGCTACGCTGCTGAAATCAGTGACAGCTGCTATTTTTAGGATATGTGAAATGTGTCTCTAACACACAAATCATGATGAAATACTCGTGTGTGACAGTGAGTATTCACACACATACAGTACCCACACACAGACAAACGTAGACATCACAGACAAGAGGAGTCAAGACAAGGCAAGAGGGCAAAACCTTTAAAATGTATGTGTAGTGTATGTGAAGCACAAGCAGAATTCTATTTCTGTTATGTTACAAGTAAGTGTTTGTGTAAAACAAAGCATTTCCAAAAAATGTCCCCCACCATTATCCTCAACACTTAAACATGGGTCATTAGATTTATGAGCTGAGCGAGTCATCAAACAGTTCATTACATACAGTAAGTGGACCTGGATGATGAAGCTTTAATGCTTCAGGCCCATCACACTTAAGTGACACAGAGTGTTACAGCATCCTCACACTGTGGTCTCACAAGATGCCAACGCTTTGAAAGTTAAAAAGTGTTAAAGCACATTTTTATAGATGCCTAGAAGCCGTTTCCCCCTATTTATCTACAATCAATGTCAGCGTGCCATGATCTCGTCTTTGTAGCTGTGTGCACAATTTGTTAAAGCCGTCACACACCCTGTGCCTACACATGCAAGTCTACAGCACAACAGGGCACTGACCGAGATAACTTTTGAAATTAAATCAGGTGTAGGACGAGGTGTAGACAAAGCTGCATGAGGTCTGGTGAAATGTGATGAAGTGGATATGGAGTCAGTGTCTCTCTCACCAGGGGAAATCAACTGAGGGCAGAGAGCATGGAAAAACCAAGGGAGGAGGAGTCAGAGCCAACAAGCAGAAAATCCTGTTATTAATAAAATTTGCTGGTGAAATTAGCACATCTAAATCAATCAATTACACACACACACACACACACTATTCTATTCTTGTATGCACATGAACAGACAGAGATCAAATCAAGAAACAAAGTGTCAGCATCATTTAAATCAACCAGAGACCATAACATTTCATCTTAGTTGTCAGACTGTTTGCTAATGAAAAAGGTTACAGGTTCCCAAAGTTACATGAGTTTTAAAAGTGTTGTCACTGAAAGTGCTGTGCAAGCTAACCTGCTTAAAAATGAAAAGGATTAAGAGATAAAAAGAGAGAACACAACGACTCTGTTGTTACTCAACCTTGGGTTTATTAGAAATGCTTATTAAAATGTCCCATAATACAACAGAAATACAATGGTTTGTACCACACAAAAAATAGAAGCTTTCATCTTCAATAAACAGTATAAAAATACCTTTAAAAATAGCACCTTTTCTCTGGCTGGTAAACATGCAGTAATGATCAGACACAACTTCCCCCAAATAATAAAAATATAATGTACAAAACATTGGCAGAATATTGTGCTTGATTCTTCATATGGAATAAAACCGATAAAAACTATATCCCTGGTAATAACCCAATGTACTGTATGTGTGATTGTGTAGTTATTATTGTATTGTATCGAGATGTGAGATGCCACTACAGTAAATACCTTAGTTTTGTTACCAATCAAAAAACTATCTGGAAAGACATTGTTACTTTATTTAGTTGACTGCTGTTTTTCTATGTAAAGGAAAATTACAATAAAATTATCATTAGAAAAAAAACTTTGAAATGCTTATTAACAATGAGGAAATTGCTTTTCAGAAACCACAATTCGGGGTGCTTCGCTACAGGGAGGGAACAAAATAATAAAAGCACCTTATTATATAACATCCGAGTAACAATGGTTGAAGTTCATAATAGGGTGTAGTTTGTCCTGCAATTTAACAAAATGTGCTGGTACATGCCTGCCAATCAGTGGTGCTGAGTGTCTACCTGTGTTTCTCTTCCTTAATGCAGCTTTCATGAGTTCAAGGTTTTCTCCTTTGACACATGACAATTCAGGCACCAACGTCATGATCACAAAGGCAGCTACAGAGATGAGTCATAGTAAACTAAACTCCAATCAGCTTTAATGGAAGTCTTCAAATCACTATTTCTGATTTTTTTTTAAGGCAACCAGATGCACAGCGTTAGAAGCAGGCTGTGATTGTTTCAGCTTGCATCTACACAATGCTGTATCAGACTGAAATCTTTAGGGTTTAAGTGAACACAAGAAACCCTTATTAGCATAGAGGAACACTGGTCATAATGCATGTAGACCTTTTCCTTCTTAATGCAACCAGGCTAATCAGGGACTTTCACAAAGGCACAATACAGTAATATTGTAAACATTGTAAAACAATCTGTATCCACCATCACCACGAGCAAACCTTTTAAAAACAATGAAGTGCAACAAATGCTTGCTGCTGTGAATATGTAATAAGGCTGTATGTGTTTCCTTTAAAATCAGAAAATACTTCTTTAGATACTAAGAAAAAAGTGAAACTTGTAAATATCAAAAAGTGGAAGAATAGTGCCAAGGGAACATAAAACTTACTGTATACAGGTTGAAAATTGTTACAAAGAATTTTGATTTTCAAAGGATTGATGAATTGTATAAAGTTTAACCATCATTTACAAACAGCCAGAAATTTCAGTTTTCAGACTGAAGTCTAATCAGATCATTTGAACTGGTTAAATAATAAGTATGCAGGCACTGGTTCTATTACCTGTGCGTAACATGTAACTGATAAAGGTACTAAAGTACCTCAGTACCGTGGCAAAGCTAAACTGGGAAAATCAGGGTGATGTTTAAAAGAAAGGAAGCACACTTTGTCTCCAGTGTGCAAAATGTTAAACACGTTTTTTTTTTTTTTTGCATGGTTTGTAGAATGTAAACCAGGGAGGCACACTGGTATTCCCTCTGAAACCAGGGTATGGTTTGGTTGGACTTAAAGAAACAATAAATAAACAAAAACAAAACTGATCTTTAACGTTTGACAAAATAATGATCTATAAAAGCCAAGTATAGCCTAGCTAAATGTAGCTAAGCTATATTTGAGACTAACATTCCTGTGGAAAAGGAGGAGCTGACCACAATCACCGTGCTGTCTTCAAGGGACGAGGACCTGTACAACAGATCATTATTTAGTCTGCATATGTTCAATACCTGACAAAAACTACTGTGTGTGTAGATTTGTTGTTGTACCTTCAGTCTCTCCAAGGCAAACCTGCTCGCACTCCTCCAGGTGGAGGAAGCGGTTGTTGTTGCCTTCACAGCCGCTGTAAATGAAGGGTCTGCAGGCCTGAACCTGATTGTTAAAGTACCAGCGTAGGGTGTATCGTCCACAGCTCCCTTCCTCCATGGGCAGCTGGCACACATCTGCTGGAGCTGCAAAACACACACACACATGAAGAATGTGCACACATAGATACAAAAAGGCATGCACAATGAGAAAAGGGCAGAAAAGGCAAGAAACAGTGGAGACAGGGCAGTGTTAAGTAGCAACAGGGGACAAACAACAAGCACTCACAGCCAATAAGATCAAAACCAACCTGTTTATTTCAGTAATTTTACATATAGATGCAATGCAGCACATTAGTAACATTTTCATTCAGTTCTTTATTCTATTATTCTTTATTTTAATTTACTGGATGCATATTCTTCTAATTCAAGATCAGAAGGCCAATACAGCCTAAGACATGCGAGGAGGGCCAGACACCATGCTGGACGGCAGAATTAGACTTTAATAAATCCCAAAACAGGACGACAGCAGAGCTGATTTACCTTCCTCTCTGACTTTCCTCTTGGACCTGACTGATTTGGACTGGGCTGCTTTCAGAAGTGTCACTTTAGCTGTTTCTTTTTTCTGAACATCAGCAGTGGCTAATTTGTTTGGTTCAACATTGACAGCCTTACCTGTCAACACACACACACAACATATAGGACACACATGAACAGACACACAGAAAAAAGTATGAACACATATAAGAAACAGAAAAAAGAGAAAACGACAATGTGATAACACTGGGGGCGGAGGTAAAGATCAACAAGATATACAATTGACTCTGTGGTTTGTGCCTCAATCAGGCTGTGTCAGAAATAATGTATGCCCGGCCAATATAGTCTCATTCTGTCATGAAATAATATAAGAGGCTTCTACGGCACAAATTGGATTTTTGTGCTGATTGAACAAACTGAATTATGGGACATGAGCAAAAATTCGACATGCCATCTTCTGTTTATCACATGAAACGAAAGTGGTAGCATGTAAACTCGATTTATGTCAGGGTCATTGTTAGGTGACTAAAATCAGCTAAAGTTAAATCCCAGTATTTATTAACCTTATCCATATTATTTCCATTGTGATTTTTTTTTATTATTAAAGTAGCATTTTACTGTTTTGAAAATCACAGACTTTGCCATAATATATAGCCAGTTATAATGAGAAAAAAAAGAGAGAACCTCTCTCTGGAGCTCTTATTTTTGCTCTTAAGCTGTTTCTGTCACTTTTCATGTGAACAACCAAATGCAACACTATGAATGTTTTCCAGAGGAGACTGTTTAAAAATGAACAGTTATCCCTATATTGATTTATCCATATGATGTCTCTCCCTCTCTCTATGACAGGTGTCTTTTCACTCCCTCTGCCTTCCAGTGTGGCTCTTTGGAACAGTTATAAACATTTCTGATTTCCATCATAGTCACACAACATGTTGGTCAACTTGGTTCTGCTTAAGCCAGGGTACCCTTATTTTGAAAACATATACAGTGCCTTGCGAAAGTATTCGGCCCCCTTGAACTTTGCGACCTTTTGCCACATTTCAGGCTTCAAACATAAAGATATAAAACTGTAATTTTTTGCGAAGAATCAACAACAAGTGGGACACAATCATGAAGTGGAACGAAATTTATTGGATATGTCAAACTTTTTTAACAAATAAAAAACTGAAAAATTGGGCATGCAAAATTATTCAGCCCCCTTAAGTTAATACTTTGTAGCGCCACCTTTTGCTGCGATTACAGCTGTAAGTCACTTGGGGTATGTCTCTATCAGTTTTGCACATCGAGAGACGGAAATTTTTGCCCATTCCTCCTTGCAAAACAGCTCGAGCTCAGTGAGGTTGGATAGAGAGCGTTTGTGAACAGCAGTTTTCAGTTCTTTCCACAGATTCTCGATTGGATTCAGGTCTGGACTTTGACTTGGCCATTCTAACACCTGGATATGTTTATTTGTGAACCATTCCATTGTAGATTTTGCTTTATGTTTTGAATCATTGTCTTGTTGGAAGACAAATCTCCGTCCCAGTCTCAGGTCTTTTGCAGACTCCATCAGGTTTCCTTCCAGAATGGTCCTGTATTTGGCTCCATCCATCTTCCCATCAATTTGAACCATCTTCCCTGTCCAACATGTGGAAGAAGGTGCTCTGGTCAGATGAAACCAAAATCGAACTTTTTGGCAACAATGCAAAACGTTATGTTTGGCGTAAAAGCAACACAGCTCATCACCCTGAACACACCATCCCCACTGTCAAACATGGTGGTGGCAGCATCGTGGTTTGGGCCTGCTTTTCTTCAGCAGGGGCAGGGAAGATGGTTAAAATTGATGGGAAGATGGATGGAGCCAAATACAGGACCATTCTGGAAGGAAACCTGATGGAGTCTGCAAAAGACCTGAGACTGGGACGGAGATTTGTCTTCCAACAAGACAATGATTCAAAACATAAAGCAAAATCTACAATGGAATGGTTCACAAATAAACATATCCAGGTGTTAGAATGGCCAAGTCAAAGTCCAGACCTGAATCCAATCGAGAATCTGTGGAAAGAACTGAAAACTGCTGTTCACAAATGCTCTCCATCCAACCTCACTGAGCTTGAGCTGTTTTGCAAGGAGGAATGGGCAAAAATTTCCGTCTCTCGATGTGCAAAACTGATAGAGACATACCCCAAGCGACTTACAGCTGTAATCGGAGCAAAAGGTGGCGCTACAAAGTATTAACTTAAGGGGGCTGAATAATTTTGCACGGCCAATTTTTCAGTTTTTTATTTGTTAAAAAAGTTTGACATATCCAATAAATTTCGTTCCACTTCATGATTGTGTCCCACTTGTTGTTGATTCTTCACAAAAAATTACAGTTTTATATCTTTATGTTTGAAGCCTGAAATGTGGCAAAAGGTCGCAAAGTTCAAGGGGGCCGAATACTTTCGCAAGGCACTGTATCAACGCACACAGCATGAAAGGCACAGTACCGTCACTCTGATTGACAGGAGGAGTGAAGTAGAGCAGGTCGTCCAAGGGCTCATCATAGGCCTCAATGGAGTAGATGTGCTCGTAGTCTGGGTCGTTGGTGTTCACCACAACATGCAACTCACGGCCTGAAAGAAGAGCAAAGCCAAACAGGTCAGAGATTGTTCAGTTCAACCTGCAGGCTTCAGGTAGAGCGAGTGCTCTCAGCTATGATACAGGTACAGAACAGTCAGTTAAACACAGCCTACCCTACTATAGTATTTGTCCGGAAGTGACAAGTGATACAGGATATACAACGTGTCAGTCAGATACATAAAATACAAATAGAGCCCTGTGTTTTCCTTCATGAATAAAGCACCTAGTATACAGAGGTCTCTGGATGCAGCACCACCATGTTAATGACACAGAGACAGACAAACAGACCGAAGCCAACAGGCAGAGTGATGGACGTACACACTCACCCTCCTGACCCTTCATGACCAGTTGCTGTTCTCGTGCAGGCCGAGCCCTGACCGTGGGCTGGAACTGAGTGTCTGGGCCTGAACCTGAGAGAGCCAGATAGGACAAGGAGGAGCAAATGGGGACACCAAGGTTGTAGATTCAGGATTCAGGGAGGTGAGAGGGACCAGGCAAGTGTTACATAGGAGGGAGACAAGGAGGGCCAGAAAGGCACAATGATGAAGAAAAAAGGCGAAGGACATAAAACTCCGGTAGTAAACCATATGAAACGGTGACAACCCCAAAGCACCACAAAAATCAGTCCACAGTTCCAGCATACACACCAGCTAAAAGGATTTACTGTACCAAGTTTTTGCAAGGGTGGTCAACATGAGGCAGTGGTCCAAAAACTGGTTGTAATCCTCTATGGACTCAAGCCGCTTCTATATGGACTTGTGTCTCACTCGAGTCAAACTGTTTTGACTTGAGTCCAACTGAAATCCATGTTGGTTCAACTGAAGACTGCAGACTCAGACCATTACTGAATTGTTCATTATGGAACATGTAAGTGGGTTCTTAGGCAAGGATAAACATGAGTGAAATGTTTGTTTTGGCTTCATTCTCACTGCATATTTATTAACAGCCTGTCTCACCACCATTTAGCTCATGCTGCTGCAATTGCTGCTTCACACTTATGTGGTCTTGCATTGATTAACAGCTTCAACAGCATTACAACTTCTGATCATTTTGAGGTTTTCACTCATTTACTTTTCATTAATTTACTTTAATATATTCCATATGGTTTTCTCTCACTGTGGTTGCATCCTTTCATAAATACCTAAACAGGACAACTGCTTTAGGACTTACAGTATATACTGATACACTATGGTTTTGGCCATAGCACTGGATCTATCCAATTATTCAAACAAAACTGTGCATAAAGAAAAGACATAAAAGGCCTTGACTTGTAGCCAAAGACTAAGAGATGACTTTAGATGTGAAGTACCACAAAAGGTGTTACAAAACATCTCTACACAGTTACAGATATTTCAGGCCAATCACAAAATTATATTAAGATTACAAAACAAGGCGTGTAAAGATGAACCTAGACAAACAGTGCTTTTCACACTGTTGTTTCTCTGTTCAAATAAATGCCAAAGCCAGTTATACAATATACAAATACCCAATGCTTTTCATTCATTTAAACCAAACATAAATCCTAAATGATGGCAAGCACACTGACTTTTGCATATGCACACTGATCAGCCATAACATTGTGACCACCTGCCCTATACTGTATACACAGAGTCAGTGCGGCAGTTGGTTGGCACTCGTGTCACTGTGCATCTTCTGTGACTCTGTTTGCTTCCATAGTTCCACTGTCAGGAAGAGCACAAATGTGTCGACCTTTCAGTGAAAACTGTGGTCGTGAGGACAAGTTAGAGAGAATTGTTTAGACACATTCAACAGCCTCCCCACTCTAGGTGTGATATCACCACTATAGCTGCCGAATGTTTCTCTTCGTAGAGACCAAAGTACAGTATTTCTCATTTTCAACCATTTTAACAAAGATTCAAACAAAATGGAACCTTTTGAAAAGGATGAATGACTTTTAAAAGTTTAATTTACGGTAGATCAACCTCATCATCAGTGAACCTTGGGTGTCCATGACCCTGTGGTTGGTTCACTGTCTATCCTTCCTTAGACATTGTTGGTAGGTACTAACCACTGCAGACCAAGAACACCCACCAAGACCTGCAGTGTGGGAGATGCTCTGACCCAGTCATCTCACCATCACAGTTTGGGCCTTGTCAGAGTCACTCGGATCCTTATGTTTGACCATTTTTCCTGCTTCCAACACATCGACTTTGAGGACTGAATGTTCACTTGCTGTCTAATATACCCCACACACTGACAGGTGCCACTGTAATGACATAGTCAATGTTATTCACTTCAGCTGTCAGTGGTTATAATGTTATGGCTGATCAGTGTATATACACTACCAGTCAAAAGTCTGGACACACTTTCCCACTGAACCTTTGACTGGCAGTGTTACAGATGAGACTGATGGTTCTCAGTACAGAATCTGCAGCAGCATATGTGGTGTAGTATGACTTGCTAAATCACAGCCCTTCTGTGTACAGTTCTCTCTTTTGATGCAGTCGAATGGCTGACTCACCTCCGCATGCTGAGGACCACACAGATGGACGGGAAGAAAGCAGAGAGAGAGAGAGAGAGAGAGAGAGAGAGAGCATAAAAAAAGGTCAGTTTAGAAGAGTCATAGCATTGCTCTGGTTCTCCACATCTTCTTTTCCATTATACTTTCTTATAGTTTAGCTGAGCCTGTGACTCATGTGCTGTGATTTCCATCTGAAGTTCAACTCGGGGACAACACTCTTCTAAATTAGTAACGCAAGCTGCATGAAAGGCTCACCACAATGCTGAGTCATCTCTGAGCGAACATACTCTCTGATCTCATCCTCCTGAATACAAAAAAAAAAAGAGGGGAACAGGGCAAAATACCGTTACAAACACAACTCCAATATCAATGTGTGTGTGTGTGTGTGTCTGCTGTTTGGAGTCAGCATCTTCAGACTGAACCCTGCAGTAAGGATCAAGCACTGACCGTCATTCCTGGCTCTCCTCTGTCTCCCTTGGCTCCATCTAGACCCATCTCTCCCTGCAGAGCAGACAGGTATTAGGACAAACACAACACAGAGAAGCTTGCAGCCCAACAATTCATTAGACTGACACCAGGTGCAGCACTTGATCTAAGTGAGATGCTAAATCACCAACACTGACATAAAGATACATCAGAAAATGATGATCTATGTCCTTGTATGGAATTCTAATGAAGTCCTAACAAAAATTAAACTTACACGCCTTTAATAATATGTAAATGTCATTTTAAATATCTGTTTTTTGGTCCATACAAAATTTAAATGTTAAAGCAATAAAGCTCTGTCACAGAGGAGCCCACTAGAATAAGAGAATTTAGTCTCCCTGAAAAATGTTACGGACAAGGACTAACTCACTGCTGTGTGATGATATTCAGATGTTTTGGATAAGGGTCACAGGAACTTGCTGACCCTCGAAAGCAGTTTCTAAGTTGGTTACAGAGAAATCAACCAAGAGGCACAAGGAGTGTGACATTAACCTGCTCTCCTCTCTCTCCTGGGATGCCTGGGATACCCCGTGGACCGACCATGGCAGGACCAATTGGCCCCCTCTCCCCCTGACACACAAGCACAACATTACAACATACAACACACATCTGCAGTAGACGGGGCATTGCATAAAAACCAGAAGTAAATATTAAAAGTTAAAGTAGTAGAAATTGTAATTTTTTTTCAGATACACTGTCTCTGCATTCACAGTCTCAGGACATACTGTATGTTTTGTTACACTCTATTTCCACTGGTATCTTCTCCAAACAAGTTGCTAAGTACTGTATGCTGCTTTAATCCACACGCTTTCAAGGCTACAGAAAATACACCCTTCATACTGTCATAATGCAGTTCTGGTACAGATGGTCTTGTACCTACAGTACTCCTAAATCACATACGGTGCCTTGTGAAAGTATTCACTCCTCCTTTAGTATTTTGCCTGTTTTGTAACCTGGAATTAAAATTGATTTTCATTTGGATTTGATGTAATGGACCACACAAAATAACCCAAAGTGGTGTACTGGAATAAAAACATACAAAAAATAAAACAAATAAATATAATAGAGCCTGAATCATGAGTCCATATGTATAATTAGTTGATTCAGGTCCATCTGTGTGCAGGGTGTCACATGATTGCAACACCACCAAGTAAGCAATATAAAACCCAGCAAGCTCTCCAAACACAGCAGAGACAAAGTTGTAGAGAAGTATAGATCAGGGTTGCATCATAAAAAAAACCCCAAACTTTGAATATCACACGGAGCATCGTTAAATACATTAGAACAAAATGGAAAGGATATGGTATTACTGCAAACCTGACAAGAGAAGGACACCCACCAAAACTCAGAGGTCATTAATCAGAGATTCAACACATGGATAAAGGTTCTCTGATCAGATGAGACCACAGATAGACTTTTTGGCCATCATGGAAATGCTAGCGTGGCACAAACCAGCACTTCCCATCACCCCAAGAACACCTTTCCCACAGTGAAGCCCAGTGGTGGCAGCGCCATGATGCCATGGGTTTCACTTGCAGGGACAAGAAAGCTCATCAGGATTGAAGTAAGGATGGGGGGCACTAAATACAGGGCACTTCTTCAGGAAAACCTTTTTCAATCTGCTAGACATTTGGGACAGAGGTTCACCTTCCAGCAGAACAATGACCCTAAACATAGTGCTAAAACTACAAATGAGTGATTTAAAGATAAACATTTAAATGTCTCGGAATGATCTAGTTAAAGCCCAGACCTCAGTCCAATTGAAAATCTGTGGTATGACTTGAAGATTGCTGTAGACCAACTCAATCTATCTAACCTGAAGGAGCAGTGTCACTTTGAAGAATGGGCAAAAATCCCAGCGGCTAAATGTGCTAAGCTAAAAGAAACCCACCCCAAAAGACTGTAATTATAACAAAATGGTGGGAAGAGGGCATGTTGTGTAAATCAAAAGGTACACCCCCCCACCCCCCAAAATGGAAATATCTGCATAGCCTGCACACACAGCACATTGTGAATTTCACATTTTCCTTTATATTCCTATACAGTACTCCTCTATACTATATCTTGCATTCATCTAGGTTTATATCTTGCAGTGTGTCTTATTTTATTGCTTTTCCATCCCGCTGTGTTTGCAGATTAGATGTTCTGCCTCCCAGGCTGCACCAAAGTAACATATATTGGTTTAAGAAAATAATGAAATTAGGTTGAATTGAGAGCGTCTGTCTGGAAACAAAGGTGCATCCATCACAGCAACTCGATATGACCGTGATCTCCTGCCACCAAATTTCTTTATTTACTTGATGAAGGATGAAGGATTAGACAAGCCAGTCAAATGCAGGGCCCACAAACTGTCAGTCATCATGAAGCAATACACAGCAATCAAACAAAACTACCAGTCAGGTGAAGAAGGAAGAGAACAAACTAAAAAGAAATACACAAAGGCTGTGTTCTTTTTGCATGTCTTATATCATACATTTTAAATACAAGCAGTATCTTAAGCAGCTGCTATTCTATGCGCTCAGCAGTGTATGGTAATTGATACTTTTGTCTATTCCTAGTTCCACTGTACAGTATTTTTTTCTTTTTTAAATCACCAAAACTGTGCACAGTCATAAGTGAAACAGCACCCATGTGATGGTGCAACAAGAGATGGTTGAAAATGTCACTATATCTTATTTCCCCTTTTAAAAACCACTACTGCCATAAGTAAAACATGTGTCAAATTAGCCATCATCAAGCCAAAGTATGAATAGTCACCTTCTGCCCCTGGAGCCCCTCGGGGCCTTTAGCACCAGCCGGCCCCTGAGGGCCGGTCAGGCCAGGGGGACCATCCACTCCTCTGAGACCAGGGGGGCCAGGTACACCAGGTGGACCCTACATGAAGTTCAAAGACAGTTAATCATGTATGCCAATGTTTCCTGTTGTTTCTGAAGATGGGTGACAGAATATGGCAGTGAGGTACAACACATTGTGATAAACAGGAAACTACTTTTACACCTGTATGTGTATGGTGCTAGAGAAGTTAAAGTTAGAAACTCACCCTTTCACCTTTCTCTCCCTGAGCTCCTTTAGGTCCTGCAACCCCATCAAAACCACGCTCACCCTTTACAGACAAAGAAAGGCTGTTTGAGTTTAGAGAAATTTACATTAGTGTTGAAAAGAAAAGTTTCCATAATAATTAAGCACATACCTTGGGACCAACTAGCCCCTCTTTCCCAGAGGTGCCAGGGGCCCCAGAAGGTCCAACATCTCCCTGGAAAAAACACAACATGCCTTCTGACGACCAATCTTAAAGAAGACATACAACAAGACGTCTGTATTGCTCAAGCTACAGGTTGTACCTGTTCTCCTTTTCTTCCTGGTAGGCCTGATCGTCCAGGAATACCAGCATCCCCCTAACACAAACATATTCATTCATTTTATTTAATTTACCACACAATACATGACACAAAGAAGTCTGTCTAATTTAACTTATGCAGGTTTAATAGATAAACACAACAAAGGGGTTGAGTATTCACTCAAGCCTCACATAACACCAAATGTTAAAGTTCACATGTTAACATGCTTACATTAGCTTGGTCCTTATTATAAAAGAATTTCTTCATTCATGTTTGTTTCTCATCCTCTTCCTCCTACCATATGCCGTTTTCCTGTCTCTTTCCATCTCACCTTCTCTCCTTTTGGTCCATCACCCCCACAAGCCCCCTTTGGTCCTCGGTCACCCTAGAAACATCATCATCAATGGAGAAAGACACGTGAAGAGACTCGTGAGTCACAGAACGACAAAATGCATCAAAGCAGCCAGACAGTGAGCTCATCCGCGTACAGACAGCCCATTTCACCTGCCACTCAGGGTAAATTACTGTGCACATGACCTGGCACTTCCACACGCAGTAAATACGAGCCACGTTGTAAAGCAATTTCCCAACAACAGCGGATATGACGCAGAACTGGACGCTATCATTGTCCTGATGAGGGGTGTTCAGACAGTAATAGCAAGTAAACACAGCATAAGTGGTAATACAGCTGCAGGAGAGTGAGAGGGACAAGGTTGTCTGGTCCAGCCACTCTACGTCCACTTATTGGAACAAAGCAAAACACACCACTGCACTGGTTGACGTTTCCTCATTATGAAACACCAGACCCAAATATTATTTAAAAATGTTGCCCAAAAGGGTCTGAACAGCCATGACTTTTTACAGTGTCTGAGACCTCTGGACATTCTTAACAAATATCAGGGTCAGGTGTTTCATAGCGGGGAAATATGTCACCCAGTGCAGCGGTGTGTTTCCGTTACGTGTTTTTAAATGTTTCTGAACAACAATGGAGGTCTGGCACAGATAAGTAAGCTAATCCAGCACATAGAAACATTAACAGTAAATAGAGGCAATTCAATGTTAGTCTCTGTATGGGGAGTGTTAAAAATACTGTTAAAATAGAAAATGACCGACCTTATCCTTTAAGAGAGTCAACCACTGTATCTGCAATGGACTATGGAGATATCCTGTACACCTCTTATTATACCTCTTCCCAAATTTAAAATGTAAGAACTCATGATACTGGAAAAACTGCCTTCCAATACTTTGCACAACACAAATAGAAGGAACTTTTAATGGAATATTTTGACATTTCGGGAAAAAGAGTTAGATGCAAATGTGCTCGGCCATGGTAGGTGGATTTTTTTGTCGATTTTGTCCTCTTTTGACAGAACCAGGGCGGCTGTTTACTCATTTCTAGTTTGTATGTTAAGCTATGATGACCGAATGCTGGCTTTAGCAGTGTTAGAGTGATATCAGTCTTTTCATTCAACTTTCAGCCAAAGAAAGTTAAATATTTTCCCAGAATCGAACTCATCGACCAACACCTTTGATTGGTTTAGTGTATTCAAACCAATACATAAAGTGAAAGAAAAGGGGAATTCAACCTTATCAGGCTGAGCAACCCTCCATTTTCAGTATTAATCATCTTACTGTAACGTTGGAGTGAAAGCAAATATTCTGCATTTATGTGTTAGTCCTCTGCAATCATATCCGTTTTATGAAATTATCAGGTTGTGCCCATCCTCACCCTGAAGGATGCTTCAAGGTCAAACTCACACAGAATGAGCAAATACACACACACACACAGAAAACACCTTGATTCCTTTCAATCCTACGATACCAATCTCTCCCTTCTCCCCCTTACGCCCTGCCAGCCCGTCTTTGCCTGGTAAACCCTGGAAGAAAAAATAAGAGTTATCCCCAGCTCTGTCATTTAAAGAGACAATCAGTCACAGAAAATGAAGAAGCTGTGTTTGGATGGAAGCCAGAAAAAAAAAAAAACACCACAGACCGATTCACCAGGCACTCCAGGTTCACCCGCTTCTCCCTGTAGAAACAAGATTGAATTATAGTTATTAGATCGGTAAAGCTATTACCTGCACTGTTTTGCTATCAATCATCACAGTATCACTTGCCTTCTGTCCACCAGGGCCACGGGCACCCGGGAATCCAGCAGAACCTCTTTCTCCTGGCTCTCCCCTCAGACCCTGAGGTCAAGTACACACGTGCACAGAAATATCAATATTGAGAATTTATGGTCGCATTACAGTTAAATAACCATGTGACGCCACATCCTGCTAGGCCAGCAGATCCACCATTATTAATAATTTTATATCATACACTCCTAATTCAGATTAAATAGAGCAAAAAGAAACTAACAAACTGGTGCTGAAACAATTACTGAATTAGTCAAATGACAGGAAATGAATCAACAATTTAGAAAATCACTGCAGCATGGTGTCGCAGTGCTTAGCGTTGTCGCCTCACAATAAGGAGGTTCTGCGTTCAAGCCCCGATCGACCCTTTGCCTTTCTGTGCGGAGTTTGCATGTTGTCCGTGTGCCTGTGTTCTCCCAGCCTCTGGTCCCCACAAGGGGAGCTCAAAATTTTAAAAATAATAATTAAGCAAAAAAATGACAAATATTTGCTGGGTTTAGTTTTAACGTCCAACAAATCTAAGGGGCTTCTCTGCTTTTATATCCTGGAAAATCTAGTATAGTAGCAGTAGTTTGCATCTTGGACTACTGGCTGGATAAAACCAGCTTTTGGATTTATGTTATTTTAGTTTTTAATTTACAATTTTCAGGCATTTTTACATCAAACAATTAGTTAATTCCTCAGAAGGACTATTAATATTTAACTAAATAGTTAAAACCACCATCAGTAGCAGGCCTAAAACTATCACATCAGATCTGAGAAGGATAAACTAATGTACCTGCTCCCCTGGAGGTCCCTCTTGACCCTTTGACCCTTTTTCTCCCTGCACACCTTTGGTCCCTCTGTCGCCCTGAGACAGAAACCAAACATGCAAGGACCCAAGTAGAAACAAATGTGGAGATTTTATACCATAATAAACAGTGTTACACATCCAAATATGAACTGACTGTTTCTCCTTTGTTGCCCTTTTCTCCAGGTGGTCCTCCCACAAGCACAGTATCCCCCTGTGAAGGACAGTACAGCTGTAAACATCTGACTACAATGTTTTATCCTGTTAACTTTTCTTAAGCTGGGTCACTTTTCATAGCACAGCTCAGTCCCATTTTGTATATTCATATAATCCTCCTCCTCTCAACAGAGTAGAACTCATCAAAGAGCTCTTTCAAAACATACAATGCCTTCCTTTCCTTTCTCCATTCTTGTGTCACCGTTGTCTTTACAAACTAAACAAGTACACAAGCATGAGAGAAAGCAATGCTGGAGCTTATTAGATATTGATATGCACAAACCTTCTCTCCTTTGTCACCTTGCAGCCCGATGTCTCCCTGAAAAAAGATTGAGAGCAAAACATTTCATTTAGGCGTGTCAATTTAATTCACTACTTTACATGAGCTGAACGCTCAGCGAACGCAGCTAGCATGATGATAAATGGAAATAAAAAAAGGACCGGTAATATTCACCTTCTCTCCTCGAACACCACGAATCCCTGGGGGTCCCTGATGAACACAAACGCACAGGCACACACACACACACACACACGCACACACACACACACACAGAGCACATTATAAGGGCTCCACAATGAAAAATGACCACACAAGTTTTCATTGGTCAAAGCAAAACTGAAATTACAATATTGTTATGACTCATTAGGGTTTCACAGGTAGACTTTGTGTAAACTGCTTTAAAATAATACACTGCAACACTGTAAGGAAAGACCTACGATATACATAATTATTTAACAAACAAATGCATTGCCTCCTTGAAAAGAATAGCTCTTCCATAGTAACCAAACTAAAACATTATTATTCAGCTGCTTTTTCTTTTAGGCCTCCATACAGGCTGCCCTCCTGTGAATAAAAAAAAAAAACCCTGAACGAGACCCTGAGAGCATCAAGCAAAGGTTCCACTGATGTACGTCACGTTCCTGAGTCAAGGATAAGAAAGGAAACACTTGATATTTACTGTTGGTCCTCTCTCCCCATCTAAGCCGGCCCGACCGTCCTCGCCCTAAGACGTGACAGAAATAGCACAAATATGTTAGTGTTACTTTCTATCCTCCAGAGGAAAGTTCATATTAGATCACAACTACAGTGATACAGCAGTGCAACAAAATGTCTTACTCTGGTCCCCGGCTCTCCTCTGTCTCCTCTGGGACCAGGAATTCCAACACCAACTTCTCCCTGGTGACAGAAATAAAATGTGCCCATTTCAAAAATGTCATTAACATTCAAGCGGGTAGACAGAGATCTGTGTTGGTTTGGTAGTCACCTTGTCCCCTTTGACCCCATTGGTACCAGGAGAGCCCTAGAAAGCAAAGCATTGATTATAGAAATTATAAATTCCATCTGTTCCTGTCCTTCTACTTCTCTCACAGCCTTATTACTTATTTAAAAACTAGACCCAACTGAACATACAAATGCATGTGGGGAGCCTGAAATATCTAATCCCAGATCTTCAGTAATTCGTAACGGATTTTCTGCTTTGAATCAGTGTCCTGTTGTAGAAGTCATACTCTTTTCTGATTCACTTTCTTGACTGACTGCTTGACATTTGCATCCAAAATTTACTAATATTTTGTGAAATTCATTCTGTGCCACTGACTACTACACAGCCCCATAAAAAAATATTTACCAGTTGTCAAAGTGATGGTTACCAGGTACTGGGTTAGTCAGCTTGAAGATTTGTACAAACCACAATTACAGTTTCTTTTTTTCTATATTTATGTTAAGGAATAAAAAAAAGTGATGAGTGAAAATAATTAAATAAATATAAAAAAAAAACTGTGCATTAACATTAAAAAGGCTTGTTGTCCACAGTGTCTGTGTGCTGCAGGGATTGCATTTACTTTTCATCCCTTCAGAAGTCAACAATATTTGTACTTTGCCCAGGGGTGCCCAAACAATTGTAAAAGAAATCAGACTTTCCGCTTAACTACATAAAAAATGCCATAAAAGCAGCAGTCAAATAACAATCGTTAAGTCTAAATCCAATACCAGAACCAAGCTGTTTATTATAGTGTAGTAAAACCAGGCTGTAAACTCACTGCTTCTCCAGGAGGTCCAGAAGGACCAGGAGCTCCAGCATTTCCTGCACGACCTGCAAAACCCTGAAGACCCTGAAAATAAAACTCACAAGTTGAAAAGCATCCCACAGAGACCAAGGCTAAAAGCATAAATTACTGTTTGTTATCAGCAGCTCCACTGACCCTCTCCCCCTGCAGTCCTGGAGGTCCTGGTTGCCCGTTTTCTCCCCTCAAGCCAGGCTGCCCGGTGTCACCAGACTTCCCCTGTGGCCCTGGCGGGCCAGCTGGACCAGGAAGGCCTGGATCTCCCTGAAATTATGTTGCAATTAGATTTTGACCTGTGGCATGCCAAGTGCTAGCATGCTAAATGATTATAGATAATATCACCCTTGATTTCACATGTGTGTTTATGGCTCATCCTATTCTGCACCACATGAATTTACTTACCTTCAAACCCACTGGCCCATCCCGACCAGGAGGACCCACCAATCCTATGCCCTTCTCTCCCTGAAACACATATTTTGTAATAAGTGTCACATGGAATGGGCGTGATTTTAACCAAAGCAATAAAGCACTCAACAAACAACAAGCTCACCTTATCTCCTTTTGGCCCAGGAGGTCCCTGTGAACCCTACATGAAAAACAAATGAGGAAATGTGGAAAAAAAAAAGGTTTACTAACTGTGGTTCTTTGAAGACCCATACTGATCACGCATTGTTTAAAAGAAATCAAAATTTTTGCATGCCCTCCAAACATCATTTCAGTGTTCATTATGCTGCGGGAAGACCCGCTCCAAGAGTACTGGTGTGTTAGCGCCCTGGTTGTCATTACCGTTAACATGCCTCGTTAACCCCAAGGATGACAAATAATCAAGACCTCGAGTATCAGAGGAGATTGGGCTCAATTACAGTTGACACTTTTAGAAAGAAGGCCTAGACACTTTAATCACACTGCGGATTTTGTTTTTAGATCTCTTTTTTAAGGAACAATGAGAAGATATATGGAAACAACAAAAGTCTATTCCATAATAGAGAGAGCCCATTTAAAAAGCCCAACAAACAGGCAGTGAAACCTGACTACTCACATCTTCTCCAGTCTCTCCTGGTTCACCAGCCACTCCCTAATACGAGGGCAAAACATGTTATAAACATTGTTATCTTAACATCAAATCTACGTGTTGCTCTACAGCACAGTCATACTCACTCTCTCTCCTCTGGTGCCAGCAGAACCTTTGTCCCCTCTGTCACCCTGAATGACAGTAGTTATCATAGAGCTCGCAAAACATTTTATAAACATTGTTATCTTAACATCAAATCTACGTGTTGCTCTACAGCACAGTCATACTCACTCTCTCTCCTCTGGTGCCAGCAGAACCTTTGTCCCCTCTGTCACCCTGAATGACAGTAGTTATCATAGAGCTCGAATGAAAAAGCACTTAACATTTTCACGCTGTCTAGTGTCACTGAGAGCGATGCTTCAGTGTTAATGGTTTGGCGAGACCCACCTTTTCCCCAGGTAGACCTCCCTCTCCAGCTGTGCCTGGCAGTGTTTGACCAGGAAGACCCTGCATCAGTCAGAACCAGGAAACTACTGTCAGCTACATTTTATTTTTCATTTCTAGACTGGGTATATTCTGCATCTATATTCAGTACTTGTGTTCAACTGTTCAACTAAAATAAAAATGTAAAAAAAAAAGGGTTTGTGCAGCTACTTCCATGTTAATGCCAAAAATAGTGACTCACCCTATCTCCTTTGGGTCCAGGGGGTCCAGCCACTGCCTGGAAGAGTGCAGAAAATGGAGAAATAATTTCAACTACCAGTGCAGCATAGTAATGGGCTCCTGCTCAGGAAAAGACATAAATGTTCACTTATGTCTTTGTATTCAAATATCATATTAACCCAGCTATTAGCTTTTCCAGGATTAAGAGGCTTAACGTCTTCATAAAAGACAGGCAACTCCTACTGCGCTTCACTGACTGGAAGTGTTTGAAAACCTACTCTTTTTTTTTTGCTCTGTTTCAGGTAGAAGTTAATAATATATTCATTCAATTGTAGTTGATAATGTTTGAAAGAAACACTAGGAACCATTCAATGAAAGTGTCACTCAAGAGTTGGTCTGTTATTGAGTGCCATTTCTTCTTCTGCCCTGTTCTGACAGAATGACAACTTCCAGGAAGGTGGTTGTCTGGGTCAAGAGCAACTGAATGAAGCGAAGTGGAAGTTCAGCTCTTAGACTCTAAAGGACTGATACAAAAAATGATTACAGTTGTATTTTATAAAGCTTTAAATATGTCTGTTATGGAAACCCATTCAGCCTGGAACGGAAAAATATCAATTCATCTTTGCTTGTGTGTGTCTATGTATGTGAGAACAAATGGTGGAGCCGCCGAGCAGATGGACATGTGTTGCTTGGTTTATTTATCGAACTATTGAACTTACTGACAGTGTCACTGTGCCTCTGTCCAAGGTGCTGAACCTGAGGCTGTCAGCAGCGAGGGAGCTGCTCGAGACACTTGTCACGATTCGTGTCAACATTACAAACAGCAGGGGTGGCAGCAAACGCTGAATACCAGACAAGCAAGTTACATCTTAGAGCCTTTTTTCTGCAGACACATTTTACCAGCAGAGAGAAACTAGAGGCTCCTAGCAATGAAGAGGTTATTGTTTTGTTTTTAAGATAAAACAGGACAGGGTCCTTGGCGGCCACTTGGTTAGGAAGTATACAATATTCTGTGAAAACAACATCCATGGTTCAATTCCAGCCTTTGACACGTCATATCTCTCTCTCTGATAAAAGCTACAAGGGCATTAAAAATATAAATGATTTGAAAGCCACATGTTGTGTAACCTGTTGTAAAAAAAAAAGTAGTGTCATGTTATTGAAACAATAAAGAAGAATAAAACTGAAACAACAAAGAAGAACACTATGGAAATTCTTCAAAGATGACAACAAAGAAAAACTGATAGCAGACAAAATTGTGGGGATGTTTTGTCAAAAGGAGCCAGCTGAGGTGGTTCAAGCATCATATCAGGATGCCTCCAGGGCGCCTCCCTTCAGAGGGCTTCTGGGCACGTCCATCTGGTAGGAGACCCCGGGGCAGACCCAGAACATGCTGGAGAGATTAGATATCTCATCTGGCCTGGGAACGCCTTGGAATCCTGCCAGAGGAGCTGGAACACGTTGCTGAGGAGAGGGACGTCTGGACTGCCTTACTGAACCTGCTGCCACCACAACCCGACCCCGAATAAGCGGCAGAAAATGGACGGATATTTGTTGTGGTTGACCAGCTTGCTTCCACTGTTGCTTAAACATCTGCTCTGAATGCTTAACTGAACAGGTTAAGCTTTTCTACAAGCTGCCAATCTGATATTTTATCTCTGAAATAGCTGTTCAATATCTCTGTAAGTAGGTCAAAGAATTTCTGTTCAAAGACTCAGAAACACTGCAGTTGTGAGTTAACAATTAATAAGTGTGTGCACTACCTCATGACATTATGAAGCTTATGGCAGAAAGCTGAAGTGAGCTGAAGAACAGCTCAAGTTTTTGTATCACAAAAAAAAAAACAAAAAAAAAAACAAACAAAAAACACACTGCTCCGGGATGGCTCCTGGCTCAGACGAGGGGGAATCTGACACACCAGCCATAGCAACAGCAAATCAGAGAACAGTGTGCATCATTTTAGTCGGGTGCATGCAAAGGTTAATATTCTGGTAGCACTTTAATAAAACTATGATAAAAATGAGTCTGACTGGTATCTGTAGTGTAATGATACCGATACTGTAAATAAACTAGAATTACAGCTTCACAGTTGTATGCTTCCACTAATTGATCAAATTCACAGGAACGAGACAGATGTGAGGTCATTGATCCTTAACCTTCGACCACCAAAATCTAATCAGTTCATCTTTGAGTCCAAGTGGACACTTTGAAGAAATTCCTTAGGGCGTTCCTGAATATGGCATCCAGAAGAATGGGCTGGACGGACAGAGAGAGACAACCTGAAAACCTCACGCCTCTGGCTGTGGCTATCACCGGTGCACAGGCATAAAAAAAAAACTGTACTGAGGCATGTCTAATGAAAAGTGAAAAACAGAGAGAATTCTGACTATGTGATGAGCACTGCATTAAAAAAGTAAGGAACGCACAGTATGTGACCTTCTCTGTCATTTTCAGTTACAGTGAGCTGAAAATTTGGCTTAATTGAGATCCTCACTGGCAGAACTGGCACAGGCTTTGTCAAGCCAAGCCAATCCCCATTAACAGATGTCTGCAGTCATTCAAATACAGACAACAGCATTTCAGTGTGACAAGTAGAGGAGGTTGAGCACAGTCTAACTAAAGCGTCTCATGCCTGGAGAAACTATAAAATCTTGGTGCCTGGATCTTGTAAAGAGAAAAATAAATTTAAACTTAATTAACTGAAATCCAGTTAATTGTTCTCTTGACTTGGGAGCAGCTTTACTGGAACACCTAGTTCCCTGTGATTTGACAGCTCCTAACAGAGTTTTATTGTGCATGATCACGGCTGATTAGATGATGGGTCCTATGAGTACGAGAGAATGCACAGGGGTATTTCTTTTTAACAGGCTCCACCACCTGACACCCTGAACAAGCACAGCACAATATATTTATCTACCAAGAGCTCTCTTTCTATTTAAATCTATGGATAAATGTTATTGACATACATTATAAGACACAAATGAACAGTAATGGTTAGCTCCTCTGCATTTTTAGAGTGAGAAGCACTACAGACCTCTACAGGGTTTCCCCTATATTATTATTCTACCCCTACACCAGATACACCTGTGAGGCCAGTGTGAACAAAAGGAACAAATTACTAGACAGGTTTCATAAACAAACATGCCAAGAAACTCATTTTATTGAGTCAGCAAGTGCCAGACAGACAATCTGCTCTCAGCGTCGATCAATAATGTAAAAATCCAATAAAACGGAAGTTTCTGTAACACTGCCCAATCTCAAACTGCTCACCAAAAGGAAAGGAATGTTACCAATATTCAATCAACAGCAGAAACTGCTGCACTGACCACTGCAATGAATTTACTGGATTTAACACTGGGCTGCTAACAGATTCCACTATCACCGGAGTCAGAAAGACAAAACAATCTACATTCAAGTTCTTTGTTTGTGAGCAGTTTGGAGCGTTCACTATGTTTTTCTCCTTACAGCCTCATGGCTCACGCTGCTGGAGCCTACTCAGAGATATCAGTTAAAATATCAGGGTTTACACTTACAGCTAGCAGCAGCCTATAAATCACTAACACTGACCAACTGTAAAGAGTGTACAAATTGGAGGGGAATGTATCTGGAGTGCCATCAGAGGCACAGGCAGCCCCATCCCCAAGTGAACAAACAACTGCAGAACTCAGAACAGGACCAGCTAACGCTGCACTGGACAAAAACTTTCACATTAGAATGCTAATAACAACAGTACTTCATTAGTTTTTATTACCTCAGCAAATTATTCACACTGTAGCAGCAGCAGTAGCTGGAACCATATCCAGTACAAGCAACCACAAAAATCAATGTAATTGACTGTACACTTAGCCAGAGGCTGCTCAGCAAATGCATCATGTTCTCACCTTTCCTGGCGGACCGCTGTCTCCCTGCTCCCCCTTTAAGCCGGATTGGCCTGGAGGTCCAGCAATGCCCTGAGGAACAAATTACACAGTGGCGACACTGAGGAGGGCCTCATAAAAACAGCACAGCGCACACTACAGATACACATGACACAACATAAAACAGGCACCTGCATTGAGACACACACCTGCTTTCCTGGTAGTCCAGGAAGTCCTTCTTTTCCAGGCACCCCATCTCTTCCTGGAACTCCAGGTTTTCCTGCTTCACCCTGAGGAGCACCACATGCCTCAGTATATGTTATATATATTTAATACAAACATTTGCAGTCATATTTACATTTGAGTGTACTTAGGTGTTGGTAAATCACATTTCAATGCTATGTCCACTTCATTTAGAACACTGCAAATGATCCACCAATTAATATGAATCAGCTGTGGTTTGCATGAGACAAAAATGTCATGCAAGGCCCAATAAAACATTCTTCCCTCAGAGGTTTTCATGTCAGGTTCTCCAAACAGTACATTAATACAAAAATACATTTTTCCAGTTTGTTTGCTTATAAAATCTCTTAAAGTGAAAACAGGAAAATAGTGGTAGAAATGTCAGCATTGTCTACATGATGAAACTGCATGGTTTGTAACTTTTTTTTTAAAGTTATGAACACTAAACACAGCTGTAGCTGTCGTAAGTCAATAAAAGAATGGTACACATGTTTTGGCATTTTATTTAATGACCTTCCGATTTTCAGTTACAACTGAAAATGCCCCAGGCTCATAACATTTCTTAAATTTTATATTTCCTCAATGTGCTCTGAGGTGCAGCAACAGCAGCAGCCAGATTGGATACTCACCACCTGCCCTGGCAGTCCTGGTGGGCCCTGTGGACCCTGCAGGGAGAAGTAAATACACTGGTATGAACCGCAGGATGATATACACCATGAGATGTTCAATGAATTTCTTAAGGAAATATGAAAGCTGATTTTAATGGGTGCACTTACTACAGTTCCTGGAGGGCCTGGTGGCCCTGACAAGCCTGGGTTCCCTTGGGCACCAGGAGGACCCTGCAGAGTGAAGCAATACATTCACACACTGTAGATCTGTTATACAACTTCACTGTCTTGATTGTTTTGTGCCTGGATACTAGGGCACACAAGTATCTTGTTTAAAATCTGTAAAAGACCACTGTAGCTATTTTACCTTGACACCAACACCTGGTTCTCCTAGATCACCCTGGGAAAAACAACTTTTATGACTTTAGCAAGTAACAAAAGAATTTGAACATGCAGTAACAGGTAATACACTGAAATGTTAAAACCAAAGTGAACTCACTTTCACACCCGGTGGACCTGGAGGCCCATTGGCACCTGTGGATCCCTGATTAAACACATACCAACACGTAAACTGCTGCTTTTAATTGTCGTTAACAGTCTGTAAATGTGTAGCAGATGCTGTGTGACACCTACAGTTTGTCCCCTTATACCAGGCTCTCCTGGGTTTCCCTGTAAGCAAAATATAAGTCATATACAAGTCTATGTAGTGTAAGTCTACACAGTTTATTCACACTGCACACAAACTACAATTTAAAGAAATAGTTTGATATCTTGAAAAAAAAAATCTCATCTGAGAATACCACTCTTGTGTTTGTTATTCAACATGACTTTTCAGAGTCTCTGATGGCAAAACTCCAGTCACTGCACCCAGGTAACAAATAGTGACACATGATGCCACCACAAACACTTAGGTTACAGATTAAACAAACGAGATATAAATGTGTTAATTAGTGAGTTTTAGAGCTACTTGTAGATTGATTTAATGACAAAGCCCAGTTAGCTGCTTCCCCATTCCAAGATTTCTTCTAAGCTAAGATAACTGGCTGCTACTAACAGCTTCATATCCAACTGACAGACATGAGAATGGTCTCAGTCTTCTCATCTAACTCACAGCAAGAAAGCAAACAACTCTGAATTTCTCAAAATACCAAACTATTTCTTTAAAGCTACAATATGTAACTTAAGGTAGTACTCGCATAAAACTCCAAATCAATCCACTCTGCTCCACCCAGCGCTCCCTCTCCCTGCGCCACAATGCTCTACTACGACCTGCTACGCTCCACCACGCTCTGCCCAGCTCTTCAGATATTTGTCATTATGAAATTGCAAGAAATGAAAATGCAACAAAACCTAATGATCAAGCAGAAATAACTGAAAATCTGATTGATTAAAGAGGTGAGCCCCACTCAAAAGTTTTGGAAGCTAATATCTCTGCACTGCTGCCAGTGCTGTTAAATGAGTTTGGGTCACTGGAGGCTTCGACAGCACCTCTCCACATTAAGACAAGCTCTGGAGCAGATTTCCACCACAAAGACAATTTACATAGTGTAGCTTTAAGTGACATATTTATTGCATACATGTTTATAAAATTTACACTTAGTTTTAACATAATGGAGTTATGACATAAATAATACACAGAAGACTGACTGACATGAGCTAGACTGTTGAAGACACAAACACAAAGACCTGACGAACAATACAAACACAGAGGATCACCGGTTTCAACAAAGCAACACTCACATGGTAGGCTCTGAAAAATCTGTGCTGTGCAAGGGATAAGCACAGAACAGACAGCAGGCACAGCTGCATGCACGATAAGCAGACTCAAGTGAATTGACAACACAGTACTTTTTGGAGTACACCCAATTTTGTATTCCTCCCTATTATTGTACACTGGATCCTGGCGAAGGCTTTAGCTCAGGTTGTCAGCTGACTTCCTTTCATCTCCTCAAATCTTGAGTTTGACACAGATGCTTTGGGGACAGGTGGTTGTGATTAATATTTCATGAAAAACTGGTCTAACTCTTATCCTAGACCCCAGGTCCTGGAGAGATATTTCCAATAGAAATGAATTAAGATTAAAGTGGTGACATTTGCCTGGGAGGTACATGATGGTGTGTACATTCTGATGATGGTTTGTTCCAGTCTCCTGCTGTTAAATGCAGATATGTGTACATTTTTTTAAGTTACTTGCTGTCTAAGCTAAAGTCCACTGGCATATTTTCAGATTGGCTCCACTCTCCCTTCTTTCGCTTGTATCTGATACCAGGAACAGGCTCTCCCCACCCTCCCCTCCTCCATAGCTCAAGCATGCCAGCCAGCAGCAGAGGACCTACCGGTCTGCCTAGAACTCCTGGGAACCCAGGCATGCCCTGGAGAGGATGAAGGACAGAGAAACGGGGAATAACAGGAGGGTGGGGGAACAGGTGGGTCGTGAACAGTTTTGAAATAAGGGGAAACAAACAACAAAGAGAAGGAAATGAACAGACATAAGACACATGTGAAGAGAAAGGGGAGGTTAGAGTGTGAGTTGTTAGCCACACAGTTGCAAAAGGTTACTGTCTAAGAATCTATGAAGCCTCGGTCCAAGGAGGGAAAAGCAGAGCTCTGCTGGCTTTGAGCTTGCAGCCAACACAGTGGATTAACTCTGCAGACCAAGCCTAAGAGAACGGCCTTTTGCTGGGTTACTTCTTACTCACTGGTTGGCCTCCAGGACCAGCAGGCCCTGTTGGGCCCTGCTCCAACATGGAGGAAAGGAAAACAAAAAATGTGAGGAAGTGCTCAGCATCGCTCCTCTCCTCTCCTCTCTTTATATTTATCATTGTGCCTACACAAGCAATCATGACTAACATCATGCGACCAGCAGTGTTGTTTGCTATCACTGATTACTTGTTTTAGTGGATGGTGTTGTAAGGGAAAATATGAAAGTTTAATGTCTCAAAATGGTCAGCATGCAGTACGTCTTCAGGATAATACTGCTCTATTTCTATACTCAAACAGAACATTACTGTAAATCAATAAAATAAAGACATACGTATACAGTAAACTAGAACATTATAAGTATATATGATTGACTACTCTATATATGGTTGTTTTCAAAAGGAAAAACACATACTTACCAAGTCTCCTGTGAGAAATATTCACTGCAAATTTACATGTGCCACTGAACCATGAAAAATCATGCACTTTGAAAATTGCAAACTTAAAGGTACATTATAAACTTAGGTCACATTCAACACCCCACTCACCGGTTTCCCATCCTGACCAGGTTTCCCTGGTTCTCCTTGTGTACCCTGAAATTACAAACCACACATTGAGTCTTCTATGGATTATCTGAGTAAAACATTAAACGAATGGTTTAACATTTTGGGAAAAAATGCTTACTCGTTTTCTTACCAAGAGTTAGATAAGAAAATCAGAAGCTACACTTTAGTGTTTGTAATGATTAAACAAAGAATATATGATGTGTTATTTAGTGAGTTTCAGAAGAGTTGGCAGGCAGACTGAACTACCTCACAATAGAGCAAGGATGTTTCCCCTTGTTTCCGGCCTTTATGCTAAGATAAGCTAACAAGCTGCTGGCTGTAGCTTTATATTTAGTGAACAGAAATGACTTGTATCAATCTTCTCATTTAATTCTTGGCAAGAGTGCGAATAAATGCTTTTCCCAAAATGTGGCCATCAATGTCTTTTAAACAAAAGCATTTGTAGTAACAATGGCAAGAACAGAAAACTATTTTTCCACAGGAACTGGTGACTATTATAACATTGTAATCTACATCCAAAAGCCAGCTAACCGGTGAGCCATCGCGTCCTCTTTCTCCAGACTCTCCTTTGTTTCCTTTTTCACCTTGAGGGCCGATAAAACCCTGCAAGACATGTTAAAGTAGTTTATTTGTTTTAAGAAATACACAAAATGATATGGCATGATGTGATGTATGAAACTGATATGTGGTTTTATATTATTTGTTCCATGTGTAGCTGCAGTATTACCTGATCTCCTTTAGGCCCTAGTGGTCCTGCAGCACCAGGCTCTCCCTTCTGTCCAGCAAGTCCAGGAGGGCCCCTGGCCCCAGGTGTACCAATCAATCCTGAATCAGCAGATTCTCCCTACAGTGTATACATAATAAATGTTTTTGAACTCAATTGTTGTATTCTATATTTACTAAATGTTGTATCACCAGAGCTTCACTGCTTTAAAAACAAGGATGAGAAGGGGTTCACCTTTTGGCCTGGTGGGCCAGCTGGTCCTGTTGACCCAATTCTACCCTGATAAACAAAATAATGTTGACTCAGCTGACTGTCGGGATGTTAAACATGAAGGTCACATTCATCAATCTAGCATAAACACTTACCGATTCTCCTCTGTCACCTTTCTCTCCTCTTTCCCCCTGAAATACACACACACACACACACGATAATACCACAGTTATGCTGAATCCATGTGAAAATCTTTATTTGTTGACACTCAGCATTTTACTTTACTTTATCTCCTGGTCTTCCAGCCTCCCCAAGTTCCCCGGCTCGCCCAGGAACACCTGGTATTCCCGGCTTGCCTGGTTCTCCAGCAGGCCCTGGGGGTCCCTCTGGCCCCCGTTCTCCAATGGCTCTTCCAGTAGGCCCAGTTGGTCCCACAGGTCCTCGCTCCCCCTGTTCCCCTTTTTCTCCTCTCTCCCCTGGAAAACCTCGAGCACCCTAGTATTCAACAGGAAATGGAAAGAGACAAACATTATCCTTAAAAACTGTTTAAAAAGGTTCATATAAAATGCTGTAAACATAAAAATAAGGCTCCCTATTTAGACTTATTGTGATTTTAGTGAAGGTATTTTTACTTTAAGACACTCTTATTCATACTTACATCGGCACCAGATGGCCCCCTTGGTCCTGGTTCCCCCCTGTCTCCTCTTTCACCTTTCTCTGCCTTCTGCACTGGAGGAGCTACTGGTATGTCCTTCCTGTCCACAACCACCTTCAGATCAGACACCTGTGTGGAGAAGAGGGAAAAGGCTGGTGATAGTTACATAGCCATTAGCCATAAAGTGCTTTAGACCACAGCTAAGACAATTTAGATTTCATCTCAGCAGCTAGAAAGTTGCTCGCAATCAGTGTTCAGACTGAAACACACTAGGTTCACCGAGTACCACCTCTACATAATAAGAACTATTCAAAAGATCTATGGAGTTGTATTTTTATACTGCAAATAAACCTGCAGGGCCAAGTCCACGTTTGACCAAGCAACACTGTTAAAGCACTTTTCAATGACAGAAGACAGTATATTTAAAACTAATTGAGCTGTTGACACAAGAAATAACAGTTTAACATGAGCTACAGTGTAAATAGTTGTTAACAGTCTGATGACATTTGCAAGAACAAACAGACAAATATGACCACAATACCAATTAACAGGATGCTGTAAAACATGGGTTTTATCTGTTATATCAGGACATTACAAACTGTGTTATGACTAAAAAACAGATCACCAAGCTGCATCCGCCTAATGTTCCAATATAAAGATCTAGCTACAGCATTTAAATACACCATCTTAATTAACTTAACACACTGGAAGCTAAAGATGATTCTACACATTTAACAACCAGCTGTTATCATTAAACTGTAAATCATAATTGTGTGGAGTCCACATACCAGAATACCAAAGCTGGCCAGAGCCTTCTGTAGATCCTGGTAAGAGAGAGAGAGAAACATCATTGTACAGAGGTGAAGAATATTACCTATAAATTAATCCACATGTCACAACTCAGTCATTACAAGTCAAGTGCTGATGTATTACCACTGCTGTCCCGGGTTTACCAGGCAACCCATCCTCTCCTGGGTCTCCCTGTCAATCAGGAGACACTGAAGTGTTGACACAAAGCACAAGAAATCTAAGTTGTGTTACATTTTCATTAGAATAGGAATGGAAGTTTAACTTACAGCTTCACCTTTAGAACCAGGAGGACCCCTCTCTCCCTGGAACAAAGGAAGTTAGAAGGTCAAAGACAATGGTTAATCTGAAGCAAAGTGAGGTCAGTAAAGACAACTACAACTTACTCTGGCTCCCACATCTCCTGGGATCCCAGGGATACCCTGAAGGATGGGGGAAGGACAGTGACATCAACAGATAAGACAGGCAGGCAGTAGCATGCAGACACAGATAACACACACATCACAGCTGCTACATGTGGGAGAGCAATGTTGTTGGAGATAAGATGGCCACACAAGATACATCTACTCTGCACCTTCAGTGATGTTTTGTTTGTATTTTTTTTAAACCACACATACTGTAGCTCAATTCTAAGAGACAATTACAAGCATGAGAAATCTTTAGCGTGTATGATGGTCTTAGTTAATGGAAGTCCAGATTATTCCTAGCACACAACTCTGCAGGAAAAGCATTTAATTAACAACAACATCAAAATGCTGCACAGTCATGCAGACTCACAGAGGTTCCTGGAGGCCCCTGTGGGCCGGGGATTGGTGCTGCTTCAGCTCCTTTTACATACACAACCTGAGAGACATGAACAGACACCGATTAGTTAAAGTCAAGTTAATTTATAAGCACATTTAAAAACACAGGAGTTGACCAAAGTGCTGTATGCCAGTCAATAAAAAATGATAATTACAAAACTAGTAAACATCATAAATATAAGAATGCTGTATCTAATAACTATCTAAATAGGCATATGCAAGACAGACATTATAAATATAAAAAGTAAGTATCCATGACAAACTGTTACTCCTATTCATATTATTTTATAAATATGTCTACATCAAATGCACCTGCCCAGGTGGCCCTATGCTGCCAGGTACTCCAGGTGGTCCCGGGGGACCAGGGGGCCCCTCAGACCCAGCAAGGCCCCGATCTCCTTTCTGCCCATCACCGCCCTGGAAAACATACCACAACTGAGATATTCTCTACACACAGTTACTTCCTTCTGCGCTAAAGCAGAGGCTGAACTATAAAATCAAAGCAGGTGGCCGCTGCCACCCCTCCACTGATGTTCAAGAGATAATTAATATGAATTTGCACATGAAAACAGCACCCTGACATTTGGCACTCCTTTGGATTCCTCTCAGAAGTGTCTCCTCCTTAAAGGCTACGCTTGATCATTAGAGCTTGTGAATTTATATGGCTGCTTCTGAGAAGTCTATTGATTCAGCAGTGAGTGAGCCTGTGATGGTAATGTCAAAGCCAAATTCAGGGGATAAGTAGACACTGGAGGGGAAAAATAAAGAGGAGAAAAAAAGAGAAGCTGTTGTGTAACACAGTAAAGTCCAGGAAGGCAGGATTAATACAGGAAGGAGGGGAGAGACAGGGCAGGTAAAGACAGACAAACCACAGTGTAGAAACAAACCAAGAAGAAGAAGAATATGGAGGAGGTTTGGCAATACTGACATGTCTTCCAGCTACTCCTGCTTCTCCTTTGTCACCCTGTAGAATAAAGAAAACCTTGTCAAATTACAAACAGAAATCCAAGAATAATAAGCACCATTTTCATAAACTTTTTTTATTTAAATAAACAGTATTAAAGGAGTTTGCTGCCTGTCTAAATGAAAATGTTCTTGGCAAATTTGTTTGATTTTTTTTTTTTTTTTTAAACAAGATATGCCCTGGAGAAGTAAAAGCGGCCCAGAGGAATCCAAACAATGCAAATATTCTGTTGAATGTTACACTTTAACAGGCTTTTGTCCAAGACAATACTGAGAACACACTGAAAACGACAGATATATCATATAAGTTAGTTTGGCTGCAAAACATTAGTCAACTAACATTACATTTGTTAGAACAAATCCTGAAACACTCTAAGCCTATATCTTTCCAGTGCAAAGATGTAGCCACAAACCTTTCTCCCATCTTCACCTGGCACTCCATCCTCACCCTGTAAGTCAAAATGAAATGCATTACAGACTGTACAGGGACAAACTGAATAGTGGCCAGTCTGCTGCAGGAGCACTCTGATAATTCACTGCCACTGTTTCAGAGACTCACTTAAGATGGCCATTATGCAGCAGAGCTTGAAGTAAATGTCTAAACTGCTTTTGATCAGTATGCATCATTCAGAGAGAAGAGTACATCAAATCCATTACCAATTAGAGAATGACAGGGAGACACAGTGAGAGAAACACACACACACACACACACACACTACTGACAGACAATGTTCAGACTGACTGGACAGAATTAATATCAAAATATGTCAGTCAAATCACTAAAACTGTGCAACCTATCATATTAGAGTGTGTCAGAAAAAAGGATGATATTAAATTCAGGATGCAGGAGTATACCAGCTGTGAAGAGTTATAGTAAGGAGTTACCGCTTTGCCAGGAGGCCCAGGTTTACCATCGTCACCTGCTTTGCCCTGAAATATGACAAGGATGACACACAGTTAATGAAATGTGACTGAAAAGAGCCTGAGATGTAAAAAACAAATGAATGGATGAGAATAAAGTATGGATATGTAAATATAAAATGTGTGTGTGGGTGGATACTCACTGGGGTACCTGGATTGCCTGGAGGCCCAACAGACCCTGGGGGGCCCTGTTCCCCTCTAAGTCCAGGTAAACCCTGGTAAAAAAAAAAAAAAAAAAAGACCAATGTACAGAAGACTGAAGGTTTGAATCACACTTTTAGTTAGTTTAAATTCCTGTTAAGCTAAAACTATGTAGGTTTAATTACACCTTGCACTATATTGTGGGGAGGCGAATACAGTCAAAGCAGTCGTTTGAAATATAAAACATACAGCAGACTGCTACAATGTGGTGGCATTTACATGTGCAGCATTTGTTTTGGTTGTACAGCAGCAGTTGCAGAACTGTCATATAAAGTACACATTGGCCCTTTAAAGTGGGATTTAAACTCTTTAACTAAAGTGAAAGTTGTGCAGGTGTGAATTTTTAGAATCAATATTACGTATTCTCCTGTGAAAGTGAACTGACCTGGAGGCGACTTTCTCTACTAAATTTGAATATCTGCACAGTGCCCTCTGCAGCATGTGGAGTTAAAGTGCACATACAGTACATGGATGCAAATCAGGGCCACAACTTACTACAGAAATGCAAATCACACTACAAAAGTAAGCATAAAAGAGAATTATTAGCATTCATCACCAAATGATTACTGGTAACCAAAGGTGGAAAGTAAGTACATTTACTAATGTACTGAAGTAGAGTTTTAGGTATCTGTACTAGAGTATTTCCATTTTCTGCTACTTAATACTTTGACTTCACTACATTGTAGAGAAAAATATTGTACTTCTTACTCACTACATTCATCTGATAACTTTAGTTACTTTTCAGAATGAGATTCATTCAACAAATTATTACAAATACAAATAACTATGCTTGTTAATTAGTTAACATTAGGTCCACCTTCAGCTGCAACATTACATGTGATGTGCACAATAATGCATCAATAATCTCTGTTCAATTTACTGTATATGATATACATCTATGTTAACTGTGCCATATTGCACAATGATTTAGTACTTTCATTTTGATGCTAATATTTTTGTACTTTTACTTAAGTAACATTTTAATTGCAGGGCTTTTACTTGTAACAGAGTATTTTTACACTGTGGTATTGCTCCTTTTATTTAAGTAAACAATCTGAGTCCTTCTTCCACCACTACTGGTAATGCATACATTGAAACTACCATAACTGAAATGTAAAAAGGAAACTTACATCTCTCCCAGGGTCCCCCTGTTTCCCAGGATCACCCTATAAAAAACACGCACACAAAGCATGTATTGTGAGGTGCAAACTGGTGAGGAGCCAAACATTTTACACCAGTAAGACACTAGCATACACACTTAGCGCATGAACCCGACTACAGTAAGATTTATTTTGGCCATCATCAATTTATGGGGTTAATGATAGTAAGTAACAGCTAATACGACCCTGCTGTCTCTCAATATAACTGGAAACAGCAATGATCAGCATTGGCTAAAAATAGGAAGCTGCTACCTGAGTGATTTTTATGCTGAGCTCTGCTAACTAGAGTGTCAGGGCCACTCGCCAAAATAATTTCTCTGCTGTAATGTGTGAGTACACATCACTATGACTGTTAACACACAGCCGCTCTTCTTCTGGTCTTAATGCCCATTCCCAAAAAATAATTTTTATTGCAGTTTTGCATGATCCACGTGGGGGACCAATCATAAAAATGGCATGTTTGAATCCCTGTGATAGAAAATGAAGTACCCTCTGACCAGGTGGTCCAGGAGCACCTTGTTTACCATCCAGACCAGGACGTCCGTCTAACCCTGATGCTCCCCTTTCACCCTAGTCACAAAGAGATTTAGAGTTAAAAGAACTTTAAATCTGGAACGAGTGAGAGAACAGGTAAAGTGGCTCAGTAAAACTTTTTGCCATGAAGCTTTCTCCCAGCCCCTCTGCACTTCATCCCACTGGGAATCTACTGCATGGGAAACAGAATCCGGTGGAATGAAGAACAGGGAGACCTGCCACTCACCAAAAAGCAAACAATGCTTCAAATGTATTTTTTCAATATTTACAGAATTGCACGGTTTATTCAGTAGGTGTAACTGTAGATGCCATTCAGACAGACTGATTTCAGACCTTGTCTCCAGGTGTTCCTCTTTCTCCAGGGTCACCCTGGAAATATTAGGAGTGAATGGCGATGAGAAAATGATGCAGATATTTACAAATATCTAGTGGAAATCTAAGAATTGAAGCAGAAATGTAGTGACAAAAAGCACACTCACCCTTGTGCCTGCAGGCCCCCGTTGTCCCTCTGGACCCTTTATACACAGCAGGGAAAGAACACTAAGTAAGAGCATCAGATTACCAAATCTACACGAACGGGGCCAGTGCGCATGCACACACATATGAAGTAGCTTATCTGATGCTCATGGAAGCATTTCCAAACAGCAAAAATGAGGCAAACTCACTTGTAGGCCTGGGGCTCCAGGAGTCCCTGCTTCGCCTTTATGACCTTTGCTGCCATGCTCTCCTGGGTCACCGGCATCACCCTAGGAATTGCACTGACTTAAGTAGTTGAAGCTGAACTATTTAATTTTCATTTTATTTTAACTTTGAGGTAATAATGACATGGTGGTTTTACAGCTGCAATAACATTTTGTTGTGTATATGCACATAAATTGTCAGAAGCTACAGATACATCTACAACAGTTCACACCTTGTCTCCTCGCTCTCCTTTCAGCTGGCGCTGGATGTCACCCTGGAAAGAAGAACAAACATGAAAGATCACATGTAGTTCTGCCTCCTTTGTGATATCAGAATTGAATTGTATGACATTCTTTAAATTTTAGGAGCAGGCTGGAGACTACTTTTCCTTACTCTAGTTTAATTTGTTTGACCGTTTCGTTTTAAACATACAGTGCAATGTGACATACTCACCACTTTTCCTGGTGGTCCTGAAGGCCCTTGAGGTCCCTTAAAAAAGGCAGTGAAGTATGTGAATCAACTGACAGGTGATATAAAAGCACTTTGCAAAAATAAAGCAGACAACAAACCTGTTCTCCTCTCTCTCCTTTTGCCCCCACAGGTCCTGGGCTGCCCTATGATTGAACACAGATTCATAAAGATGCACAGCAGCTGACCCTCATCACTGTCTCTTCTCTCAAGGCCTCAGTGGAATAGCAGAAGAGCATGCTGAAAAGCTATCTGTCTGATGATTCATGAATGTGTGTCTCACATTTCGTCCTTGCTCTCCTGGGTCTCCCATGTCTCCTTTCTCTCCTGGCCGTCCGGGCTGACCAGCCAGTCCCTGAGGGACGTCAATAAAAACTGTCTGGTAACTGAACTTTCCATTGATGTAAGCTGGTAGTTTCAAAGTTTTATTATGAAAGGTTGACTATAAATGTGTCAAAGATACCCTCAGTCCTCTTTCTCCTGACTTCCCTGGAAGTCCAGACTCGCCCTGATGAAAAACAAGTTTAACAAAAAGACACTATTCGTTATCCACACACGCAAATGCATATACAGATGAGTGACAAATTAAAGGAAAAGTTTGAATAAGTGAGTGATCTGTTCCAGACTTGTAGAATCGATGCCAAATTGCACTGAAGCTGTTCTGGCAGCATGTGGTGGCCCAACAACATGCTGAGACACATAATGTTGGATTTTAATTTCATTTGTCACACATCTGTGCACATATATAAATATACACACATACGTAGTATATGCTGAGAATTACATAAGTGAAGACATATTTCATCAGAAACCAAGTATTTGAAAAAGTCAGAATGAGAAGAATCAGAGAGAATGAGAAGACTAGATCATACTTACAGGAGTGCCTTCGTCACCCTTCTCACCTTTCTCTCCCTGTAATGCAAGTATAATTCATTCACTGGTTTTAACTGGGAGGAAACTTTAGTGGGATTAAGTTTCAAACTACAACAAACTGAGCAGAGGGTCAGAACAGACCCAAAAGACTGTGAGAGACTTCTATATCATATACATAAACAAAGCACACTTCTTTTTACCTCTAAAATGGCATCATTGGAAAGACACGCATGTTGGAAGGAAGAAAAAAGCTTAACAGTTTGTTTGGTCTTTGAATACAGCACTCAGCAACAATACATATCAAACTGTAAACATTCATTTAGATGACAGAAAACAGCACATGCTTTGATTTGGGGAACCTGGGAATGTTTGATAGTTTTGCCTAAAAACTGCTCAAATAATTGACTAATTGACTGATTACAGTAGTTAGAACCCGTACACCAATCTGACCTCTTTCCCAGGGATACCGGACCTTCCTGGGATTCCTGGTCGCCCATTTTCCCCCCTCTCTCCTGGTTCGCCCGGGTCTCCCTGAAGAACAGTTTTGAGACCACTTCAATAAGCAAATAAATACAAATAAACATAAAGGTTAAAGAAAACACAGCATGCCTCTCACCTTGGCACCTGGCCTCCCACTAGCACCAGAAGCTCCCTGAGGGGAAATGTTTATGTATTTTCAGTTTGTGCCGTTTTGGGGCATGACTTGCACTGACAGGTGGCACAAGGGAGTGTTTCATGAATAACATCAAGCATCTGTAAACATTATGCTTCTGCCATTTGTAGTTGTGATACAGTGGTGACTTCAGAGTGAACTTACTGGCTCTCCAGGCTCTCCTTTAGGTCCAACAATACCTGACACCCCTGACCCTGGAGACCCCTTTGTGAATGACAGAAAAGGAAATGTCATTTGGATATATGTATGCCAGGCTGCATGTAAAAGTCATACTGTACACAAACAATTTCACATTTTAGGGCATTGCCATCCAGTGGTTGCTCACTTTCTCTCCTCTTTGTCCTGGCTCTCCTTTTTCTCCCCTCAGCCCCTCGCGACCAGGCAGGCCCTGCTCCCCCTGTGGGAGAACAGCAAGGAAGAGGAACGCCATCAAAGTGGGCAATGGTGGTGCCAGTGTAAAGCGAACTTTGTTAAAATGATAAGTTATGAGATCAGAATTTGATCCTTTACCTGTTCCCCTTTCTTTCCTGGAAAACCCTGAGCCTGAATAACACAGTAAAGACTTGTCATTGCAAAAAAGACAGTAGGTGCATAATGAAAATGAAAGGACAATTTAATTATTATATGTCATGATTTTCTTATCTGATGACTCACACTTCTGCCTGGCTCCCCTCGTGCTCCGTCATTTCCCTGGGAACAGAGAAGTTCATTTATCTTTGCTTGGAAATTCATCACATCAGATTATGAAATCTGTGATGGAATCACATTCCTACTGACCTGCTGCCCCTCATATGATCACACTTAATTGAATCAGTCTCACCTTTTCTCCTGGTGGTCCACTGGGCCCTGGTAAGCCCTGATGACAAATGGAATGAGTCATTCATGAGACTCCTGGTGCATTTATAACAGTTACACCACAATGTAACTATGAACCAAAAAGTATACAGATTAGTCAGACCTATGTCTGTCACTCACTCTCAGTCCTGCTGTTCCTGGGGGGCCTGGCTTCCCTGGGTCCCCCTGAGAACACACCATTATTCAGACACCAGCACAAAATCCCACTAAAAACAACAGATGTTGAACAAAATCATAAACTAAGTCATTGCTGCTTTACTCACTCTCTCCCCAGTTTCACCAGCTGGTCCTCTCTCCCCCTGCAAAGAGACATGTTCAGACTTGCGGCCTTCTCGGTTAAAATAAAGCAGTATTCCTTTTTTATCAGCACATACATGCACAAAAAGCATGATTTGTGACTGAAGCTGGAGCATTTCCAGGATCTAGACTCTAAGAGGAAGGGCCCTCGGTGTATATACAGCACAGTGCAGTATGTTGCTTTCAACATGTACTATAGTTATTTGGGACAACAAGCACTTGTTTAAGCTTCTTGCTTCTTGCAACAAGTATTGTGGGTTGCAATCAAGAAATTTCCATATAATATAAACATATATTTATGATGCAAAGAGGTTTTATTTTGAAGCCATTAGCAGACAAAAAGGACACTGAAGTTATTTCAGTTCATGTACAAACAGGTTCTCTACAAAATGTTTTTATTGGTCTGAAGTGAAATGGCTGTGGCTGCAGTCTTATCTAACCAACATTTTAAACTTAGTTTTTAGACCTCTATGAGCCTGAGGAGACATGCACGTGTCTCAGAAAGATAGTTTAAAATAAATTCTTACTTTTTAATTTTGATGAAATTTACTAAACCTGGTGCATACCTGTCAGTGTGGACCACAGTCATTTATACATGCATGTATGCACACACACAAACAGAAATGGGTACAGTACTGACTGACTCACTTTCATATCATGTGACTCACCCTGTCTCCCTGTAATCCAGGCTCCCCTGGCTGTCCTCGGTCACCCTACCAGAACAGACAGAGTGGCAGAAGTCATTCTTATTTATTTACACCTAATATCTTAAGTGATTTTTCTTACCTTTGTCTTACCTTGCTGGAAGTTTCTCCTGGAGGCCCACGGGGGCCCTGAAAGAAATGCAAAATATAAGAATTCTTGAACTCATGTAGCACTTGCAGCCGTATTTTGCCATATGCACTAAGCTATTTTATGAGATGCAGGAATTGATAGCGTTCTGTCAATTCTTGGCCTTACAGCATTATGATGAGTTCAAACAGGCACAACACTCCTGTCATTTGTTTCACAAATCATTACTGTACAAACTGCAGAGTTCCCAGGAGTTTGGTATTCTACAAAAGGCAGTATGACTGTGCTTGTGTCACAGATCTGGATGTGGATTTTGCAAAACAGAATTCATCATAACACCATCAGCCATCCTTTTATGGCACTTTTCCATAGTAAGCCTACAGTGTGTCAGACCTACCCTATCTCCAGGATCTCCTTGCCTGCCTTGAGGTCCAGGTGGCCCAACAGTGCTGTCACCCTGAAAAAACAACCACACATTATTTCTATGATATAAACAACCTCATGTGCTCCATCATTCATACTCACTCAACCAGCAGGTACCTTGTCTCCTTTGCTGCCCTGTGGTCCTGTGAGCCCTCTAGGACCTTGAGGTCCTGGAGGACCCTGAAATTAAAATGCAATTAGTAAATGCAATAAATACCCCTACATGCACACAGTGTTCATCTGCAAACCGAACATGTCAGCTCACCACCAGTGATTGACAGCACTTACTGGGGAGCCCATGTCGCCTTTCACAGCCACCCCACTGCCTATTCCTGGAGGTCCCTGTCGGCAAAGAGCGATAAGGGCTGAGAATCATTATGCTTGTATACACTTGAGGATATTTCTGCAGTGAGAGGACAAGCTGGTAATGGTGTGACTCACCCTCTCTCCTGGGCTGCCCTTGTCTCCCTGCAGAAAGAGAAACAGCGAGAGGATGCTTAACTTTTATGATGGTCCATGATAACCTACCCAAGGAGCTGTCATGATTCATGGGTATACACACATATTCACAGATCATACACAAACAACCCACCTCAACTGCTACCTCAACTTTTTGGACAAGTTGATATAGGAAAACACAATATCAGGAAAAGAACTAATCACTGAAATAACAGACACATAACTGATCATTCTTTTAAATTCGCAGAAAACCATCATTTTCATTACTGAAAACCGCTGCAATGCCACTTAAGCTGGAATTAAAATCCACACTCAGAAATGTTTTAAATGGCATGATTCATTTGTTGTCACCACATATGTAGTAAAAACTCCATCAGTATCTGTCTCAAATATCACATCTGGCTTTATATTGTGTAACAAAAGTAACTCCTAAAATCTGAGATTTGCATGCACATACAGAAAAGCATCCACTGAAGAGAACAAGTGGCTCAATGCTACCACCATGTGTGTGAGTCTTAAAATAACAGTTTCATCCTGGAGCACTGGTTGGAGCAAATACACTCCATTAAGAATTCATTAACATCTCTAAAATGCCTCGAGTTTAACACACATTTATTTTGCTGTACGTGGAAATATAAACATAGGAAAACACAGAGAGCATATAATTTGATCAGATATTTCAAAATGCCATCTGTTATTACAGTAGTCACGAAACAGCATAGCCGATGCCTAATGTATTTAACAATAACTAGCACTCAGAGAGAGCAAACCTTCGCCAAGGCAGATCAGCTTTTCCATAATGCCATTAAACAAAATACATGAATGAGGACGATGATCCAGAGAAACAAAATGTGTCTGATTGTTGCGTGGGCCCTACCCTACCTCTCCAGAGAATTTAACCAAAGTTCATTCATAACTTTTTGAGCTATGCTGTGAGCAATCCATGAATAAAACCAAAAACCAGCAGTGAGAACATCACCTCCTGAGCAGAGGTAATAAAAATAAAAACTGTTTTTTTTTTCCACTGATAGCAAAACACTATAAACACTGCTCCACTATTTTTTACTTGGACATTTTTTGACTATTTTCAGTGTGTTGACTGTTCAGTATCAAAGAACATTCCCCCCCAAAACAATGTCTTTTTGTATTTACCAGTGAAATACTTGCAATACCAGTATTACTCAGTTGTGTGAGTATTTTCACTCTGAATTGTTTGACAGAAGAAGTAGAGGAGGCAAACCTTGATGGAAAGTCCTGGTGTTCCTGGTATCCCTGGGCGACCATCCTGACCTGGTGTCCCATGATATCCAGGGTCCCCTTTGGCCCCGTCACTGCCTGGGCGACCTGGAGTACCCTTCGTACATAACACAAACACTGGTCAGTATATAGAAATGAAAGCTGATGATTCTTTACACAGTACCTGAACTCTCTGATGCAGCTGAACATGACATTACAGATTACAGTGCAAGTTAAGCACTTGTGGACTGACTCATTTGAAATAATGGAATTCTATCTGCAGCATGAGATGGGTGTGAGACACACATAGAAAACACTTCCAAAAACATGTTCAGTGTGGATTAGAGGTTAGGCTAAACGTGGTCATACAAAGCAATTTTAGGATTGTGATACAAGTTGTTATTATGTTGTGAGCATCTGGATCGTGATGATGCTTATGTTTTTTTAAGAGCATTCTGTGCCGGCTTTGCAGTTTGTTGCTTACCGGTAACCCTGCAGTGCCTGGTTCTCCTTTCCTCCCTGGAAGACCACCTCCAAATGAGGATGGTTCACCCTAGAACATCAGCAAAGGCATGAACAGACACACTTCGCACATCATTCTACACATCCTGTATAAACTATCCATCCATCCATTATCTATACTGCTTACTCCTGAATAGGGTCATGGGGGCTGGAGCCAATCCCAGTTGGCATTGGGCGAGAGGCAGGGTACACCCCAGACAGGTTGCCAGTCCGTCACAGTACTGTACAAACTACTTGTCAAATGCATATGAAAACTGACAACACTCAGAAAGTGCTAAGCTCTGCCAAGGCATCTCACTTAATAACACTGCATCTAAAAGCAACATTCCCATCATAGTCTGACCCTCTTAATATAATTTGTCCACCATGAAAACCTACCCCTAGCATTTGGAATCACATTGACACTATTATTAGATTGAAAGTTGTACATGAAAAACAATATTTCAGAATTCTTCAGGATCTAGCTCAGTAACCCTTGAAGATAGGTCAAATCTGTTGACACGCTGCTCAATAGCAGTTTCAGTACTATTTGTTGTTTCACATTAGTGAGTTTTCTGTGAATATTCTGGATCAACAAATCAGGAATATTATTTGGATCCATCGCAGACTTTGGTGTGTATGGTAGATCAATTTTTGTCCAAGACAATATGTATGGAATTGGCCCTATCTCACAATAGTGAAGAATTTTAAAAAATTTCCTGGATCCGGATGATGATCCAGATCAGCACCAAAATCTAAGGGATTGTTCCGTGAGTTGCACCCTACCTCTCCAAAAGTATTCACCAAAATCCATTCCGCACTTTCTGAGTTATGCTGTGATCAAACAAATCGACAAGCAAACCAACAAACACCAGTAAAAATGAGTTTGCTCACCCTTTCCCCTTTGTCGCCCTTCAGCCCTGGTAGCCCTGTCGTACCCGGTTGACCCTAGAACAATAGAAAAAGACTTAGGAAACACCGGGCTTCATATTCAGACCAAATAAGTCTGCAGCTCAGCAGGGCAGTTACTCACTGGGTTTCCTCTATCACCAGGCGGGCCTTGTGAACCCTGTAGGACAGAAAAACAACAGCATTTTGTTGACAGTAATGACAACATCAACACATCTAGTAAGTCCATGGGTTTTGGTACCGCTACTCACCGGGGCCCCAGGGGAACCCTGTCGACCTGGCAACCCTGTATTTCCATTAATACCAGGAAAACCCTAAGCAGAAAACAAAATGTTTGTTACTTTTTAATATCTGGACAAGTCTGTATGAGGTTGGTATGTCCTTAGCTGTACTCACTCTATCCCCCTTTTCTCCTTTCACCCCCGGTGAGGGATCAACCTGGATAGTTTGGCCTGGTGGACCTTGGCGTCCTTCAGGGCCTCTCGGGCCGTCCCTACCAGGCAAACCATCACGACCCTACATCACACACACACATACACACACACACACACACACATAAATGAACACACTGTACTACAAATATTAAAATGAAATACCATCATATTGCTGTAATGCTACATAGAATTGTCAAGATCAGCATTAATGAATGACTCACAGGTTCTCCCTTGAACCCCTGTGCACCGTCTCTGCCTCTCTCGCCCTGCGGAGTCCACAAAACATGGCACCTTAACAACTCAACATACAAATTACAAGAGGAGTGGCAAAAACTGAGCTTCTGCACCATACCTTGTCTCCATGTTCGCCCTTCTCACCCTAAAAAAGTTAGGAAAACTTGTTTAAAAAAATCATAGGATGGGAAAGAGGGGAAAACCCAAGAATGTTTCTGGCAGTTATCAAATACACAGTATGTTCATTAAAGTGGAGCCGAGTATTTCTGATACACTGAACCTGTGATAATGCTGACAAAGGCTGGAGTACAGTATGAAAGCGCAGAGAACAACTCACCCGAGGGCACTGAATGGTGCACTGCTCTGGACCTGGAGGTACCTGAACAAAACAAATACAGAAACATCAGGCTGAGGAGAGAGTGTGTGCTCTTTGTCTTTCTATTATTACAGTAATTCAACTCCATGCTATTTTCATTACAAACAAAAGCCACAAAACACCATAAAATTTGTTTGACACAGCATTAAGACAATTTATTTATTACTTTGTCTGTTGGACACTGATTGTGTCAAGCTTGACTAATTTGAAAAACATGCTATTTCCAGGTTTCTTCTCACTTCTGGTGTTCTGGCAACTCCACAGAGCAGGTCTGCCAGATCAGAATGTATTGTATCCAGCTGTGCTGCATCACGGATAAACAGGATGTTCTGGGTGTTGTGATCCGTCACAGCCCAGCGCAGCTCCTCAGTATCCGCCTGGTCAATACCCACTGCTAACACTGTTACACCTAACAGACATGCACACACACACACCAACAGATTTGTCTCACCTCACAGGCAGATTTTTTGGATTTGTGTGTGTCGTGTACACATAAGAGTTGTCAGTGTAAAATATGTCTACATATACTGTAGTTGAAAATACTGTGTATGCAGAAGTAGACTCAAGATAAAAATATTTCCCATGTTTTTGTTTGGCTCATTTAAGTTTCAGATAGGGGGAATCTGTCACGAGTTAGTGAATTAAGACAATATGTGGTCTGTGGCTTTAATATTTAAAGGTTTAACTAACTAACTAACTATATTAACCATCTATACTGATTTGCTAGGGTCAAGTATTTACATCCAGCTACATTAAGCCAAAGTTACATTTTACAGATGAACAGAGCTGAACTGCATTGGTTTGCTCAAGCACACCTGTAGTTCTCAGATTGCTGGCTGCAAGAGTGAGGTTGTCAGCTGATTTCTTGTCAGCGATGATGACAACAGCACCAGGGACGCGCAGTCTCCGTCCATATGAAGGGGTCAGCAGGTACTGTCTGGTGAAAGTCACCGCCTCGCCTGCAGGGGGAGACTGACAATATCACAACTGCTAACGCACACACAACTGCAAAGAAGGTGTTCAGTGTGTGCAGAAAAGATAACACAAGGAAGGAAATGTTAAGGTGGAAAAAAACTGACCTATATTATTCCCTGGACTTTCATCAAAGGGTGTGGACCAGATGTCTTGAAGCAGTGTGTCTAACCTGCCATGCTGATTGAGCCGGAACCGCATTTTGGGTCTGTAACCATATACTACAACACCCACCTGAAACAGGCAGAAAATAGCCAAAGTTTTGGCAGTACACAGCTAAAAAGAAATGATAATGCCAATAGGTTCTGTGAGTTACAGCATTAGCCTTGTACCTCTCCATTTGGAGATTTCTTTTTCAGTAAGATTACCTGTGAGTTGCGTTCTCCAATTGTGCCGAGCGACCGTGTTGCACTTGTGAGGAGCTGGCGCAGAGGTCTTGCATGACTAATGCGATCGGTAGATGCCGGCACCAGAAACACCACATCCAGACGCCCACCGTCACAAACTGAGGACAGAGGGGTTTGTAAGTGTAAGTAAGGTATCAAAAGGTGTTTATGGGTATGGTAAGTATGTGAAAGGGCATGTGTCGGTGCTTTACCGGTGTATTCATCTACGGAGCTCTCTGTTCCCAATCCACTTTCAAAGATGGGCTGCACACTAAAGTGATACTGACGGCCCAAACGCAGCCCAGGCACCTGGTAAGAGATGGACGAAGCAGGCAGCGTAACAGAGAGGCCTCGACCAACATCTGAGAAACGTGAACAAAAGACCAAATAAAACTGTTGAACAGGCATGAGTCTATGACAAATAATTTATCAAGGTGTATAGTAACATGTATCACCTGTCTCCTCTCTCCAGCGTAGAACATATCCTTTGGCACCTAGTAGTGGAATCCAGTTCAGCCGCACAGAATTCTGGGTAATCTCTGTCACTCGTAATGTTATGGCAGGCAGTGGGGGAGGGGTGGTGGGGTCTCCAGCTACATACAGATACAGAGCATCAGCAGATGAACAGTGACATTTCATTCAATATATTTGTTGGGATATAAGATTTTGTACTGTATATGCTCCAATACTGAAGTTTTGCAAACAAGAAAAAATATTTCTATGCTCATTCACACATCAAGTTCAAAGGCTTTTTAATGACTTTCGAGGTCTGACAATTTGAAATACTGGCAGTATGTTATATTTTACTATATTTAGCATTTGTGAACTACACTATTTTAAAAGTCACATCTTGTTAAATACGTCCATTCTTTTAAAAAGACTTTTAAGGCCATCGTTTATTTTCTCCAATCCACACACCTCTGAGAGTCATTAAAACTTGTGGGAACCTTGGAATAAAGTCTGAATAAAGGAACACAGGACTCACGTGTGGTGACTCTAACAGACACAGGGTTTCCCTCTCTGTTTTGAATTAAAGCCTTGACCTGCACTTCGTACTGAACTCCAGAGTCCAGTTCATCTAAATCCACTGCCGTCACATCTCCCCCCACCAGTCGAGTCCTCTCTTCACCACCTATAGCACCCAGTTGCAACAGTTAGTGTAAGACAGACCGACTGCCGTAACACATTCATCACCGAAGAAAAGATCTTTGTTCTCACTGAAGTCAACATGCATATTCTAACTACAACTTGATTAATAATTGTTTAATTTCACACATAAGAAGAGCTTTAAAATAAACTCCGATGGATTCAAAGGGCTGTGAGAGAAGATTTACAGGCCACAATAATCCTACCGTCTATTCTCTTCCAAGTCACACGATAGGCTGTTGCTCCCTGCACACCAACCCAAGTGATTCGGACAACCTCTCCACGGGGCTCCAGGACTTGCAGTGATGTAACAGTCCCAACAAGATCTGAACCTGCCAATCAGAACAGCAGACATGTGAAGCATTACTTACTTTTACTCCTGATTATTTTATTTTATATCCACTTAGACATGGCTAGGTTTCTCCCAAAGACACTCGGGACAACAGCAGTAATGACACTGGTTAAGCACGGTACCTGTTTTGACATTAAGGATGGATGGCTTTCCCTCTCGAGAGTCACTCAGTGTAGAAACTAATACACTATAGGCTGAATCTGACTGTAGGTCATCAATGGTGAAGGAAGAGACATCAGCAGCCACAGTCCGAGTTGTTTCAACTCCTGCTCCAAGCAAAACATGGCAGAAAGATGGAAGTGAAGAAATTAGTGCCCTTCTCCGACCACATGAGGACCGAAAGAGGCTGACAGCCAAATGACCACTAAAACTCTAAATACTAAGTATTCACTATTGAATATGTTGCACTGTTATCTTCTGAATGCATCTTGTGTCTGTAAAATGATGAGTATTGAATGCTAATAATTGCTTACCATCATCACGACGCCAGGTGATCTTATAGCCAGTTGCCCTTGAGGAAAGTAACCATTCAATGCGTATCCTCTGAGATGTAATATCAACAATGCGAAGCCCAGACACTGATCCAGTGAGGGGATTAGTCCGAGCAGACAGTGTCAGCACCTCTCCAGTGTGTTGGCCAGCAACAGCTGCAACACCAATAACCAGCGGCTCATCTGGTTGCAGGCCGTCTATAGTGTAGGAGGTGGCTTCTGCTCCCAGAAGACGGGACTGCTCTGCACCTGTAATGCAAAACACAAGGGAATATAAACCCGCCCGCATAAACTACAAACCAAAACACAGACAGAAGTGAAGTTATGAAAGTCTGCTACTATATGTTAGGTCAGAACTAAAGATCTTCAATGTACAATACAAATGCAGTGCTACAGAATTCCAAAGGATAAATTCACAAATACATTACAACACACAACACTACTTACCGTCGCCTTGTCTCCAAGTAACCTTGTACCCTGTTGCCCTAGGAACACCTGTCCAGGCAATTCGAACTCTCCGACTGTTTGTGTTTATCACTCTGAGGTTAGCCACTCTGCCAACAGCTTGCTCTGAAATGACGGCAACACACTTCATTGTTCAACTCTTCTCAAGATGGCAAGAAAGTCATGTAGAGCCTGAGTATTACTCTTCTAAGGCAACAACAGCGACGGAGAAAAGGTCGCACACCAGGAAGCCCATCTAAGGCAATGGGCTCTTAAGGATACTTATAAATATTTAGACACGCGTGTATAATGTTGCCTTGACTGAGAGATCCACATGTAAGACTAGTGAATATACAATATTTGTTGAACAGCACTTAAGTTTCAAAATGCTGTAGTTGGCAGAAAAAAGCAAAGACTCAAATGCAGGAACATTACTGTCAAATAGCGAGCACAGCAGTGCATCATGTCCCTGCTAGACGCACCTGGTTTGATGTAGACAGTAACTGGGTCGCCTTCATTTTCTCCCACAAGTGCTGTGACGCTGACACCATAAGACACACCCACTTTCAGGTCTCTGAGGTCAAGGGTCGTCTGGTTTCCAGGGATAATCTGCATGTCCTCTGTTCCCTCTGAAATGACATGAAGCACGATTCACAATCATGTTTTTATCCATAGTTGGGCAGTAAAAATCTAAATGAACAATAAAATAATTTGTGAAATCCTTTACTGCACCTTCATCGTTTATGATAACGATGCGATACTGCGTGGCCCCAGTTACACCTGTCCAGCCAAGTCTGATAATACTGCCCAGAGACTCCACAACTCGCAGGTTAGACACCCTCCCCACTGTCTGATCCACTGCAACATCAGAGGGTTAGGACAATCATGAAAAAGGGCTACAAGCACAAAAAGACACTTTGATAGCATAGATAATTAAATGAAAACATATTCAGAACTGCAGGAGTTTGACCAAAGTGCTTTAATGACCCATAAAATCAATACAAAATTCAGAGTTTAGAGTCTCTGGCTGAATCGCTGACCTCTGGATACAGGGGACACAGGTGTGGCTTCCTCACGATCTTCGTACAGGGTATACAGGGTAATGAGATAGTCTGTATTGGGCCGAAGGCCTGTTAGCAGATGGGTGGAAGTGCTTCTAGGAAAGGTCAGACTCTGGGCACGGCCTCCTGGAGACAGAGCAACAGTCCAAGATCAGTGGGTTGATATTCACTTTGCCTATAGTTATAATATATACAGACGGGTAACAAATAAAAGAACCCAACAACAAAGTGTCTCAGTAAGGTGCTGGGCCGCCACATGCTGCCAGTACAGCGTCAGTGCATCTTGGCACTAATTCTACAAGTCTCTGACTCTACTGGAGGCATGAACACCATTCCTCCAAAAGAGATTCCGACATCTAGTGTTTTGATATTGTTGGTGGAAACGCCGTCTAACATGTCGATCCAAAATCTCACAAAGGTGTTCAGCTGGGTTGAGATTCGGTGACTGTGAAGGCCACAGCATATGATTGACATTATATTCATACTCAAACCATTCAGTAACCTCTCGTGTACTATGGGTGGGGGCACTGTCATACTGGAACAGACCACTCATCCTGGTTTTTCCTTTAGTTTGTCACCCGTCTGTCAGTCCTACCAGTTGCAACTAGAAAGCAGAGCTGGGATATAGTAGAAAACATTATTAGGCTATACATCAGTCAAATCATTAAGCCATCATGATGCATATCACTGTTATCTATATTACCACATGCATATCTGACCTTCCCCCTCCCTCCACTCCAGGCGGTACCCCTGAGATGACTGAATGACTCTCCAGGTGAGGCGGATAGAGGAGGGGCTGGTGGTAGCTGCTCTGAGCTCCTGCTGCTCCCGACCCTCTGAGGGAAACACATGTTATGTAATATGTCTCTGATCCCCCATGTGGAAGCATGAAAGCAAGAGGAAAGAGATGAAACAGAAGAAATGGGAGGGTTACAAGGAATGAAAGCGCCCTAGGTCTGAAATGTGGAAGAATTTATAGGTAAATGGCAGGAAAAGGTGTGTGCTTAGGGTGTGGTGATGCTTCTGAAATTCTGATGTGCATCTACATTTAAATTTAATATGAGGCTTCAGAAACCTGAGTTCATCACATCAAGCGGGTAATTTCCAGAGTTACAGTCTCTGCTTCCACAGACAGAGGAATTTTAACATAAAGCAGGAATTTGGTACAAAGCATTACTTGAGTATTGCAGGTCACTCTTAAAAAAAGGGATTTTAAACTGAACAAGGCTTTATCTAGTTACAGAATAACTACAATTAAACAGAGTAATAAGAGGGAAAAATATGAAATTACAGTATCTTCTGAATACTGAAAGCATCAGTGAACTCACTGCACTGCTTTTAACTGCAACCAATGTGACAGAAATGTGAATATGTACAGGCAACCCAACAAATATACAACACAATCACCACACTCACATACAGACACACACAACAGATATTGAGTGAGATGTGCACAGAAACATAATGAGCGTTAGGAGTTTAGTAACTGAGCTTCTCTGTTTGATGTAATCGAGCATCTCATTGGCCCCAGGACAAGAACGAAGAACAACTAAGCCAAATAAGTGATCATGAATATACACGCCATGCTCCAACACCTTTTCAAACCCACAGTTAATTTCTACATGGAAACATTTTAACACATTCACATACAGTACAACCTGTGCATAGTCACGTCCAGACTTTGGTGTTCTTATCTTCAGGATTTAGGAAACTGGTGTGAAATGATACTGTCAATGTTCTTGTAATTAAATTACACTTACAGACATGTCAGACACAACACCACACCTCTGCCCTCGGGCTGTCCCACACAACATACTAACACTTTCTAACACTAGGTGACCACAGTTCTTCTCTTGTAACTGTGATGGACATCAATAAAAGCGAGGTGTCCATGGGAAGAACACAGGGCAGAGAACAACAGGCCAGTATCTGAGTAAGTAACAAACAATGTTGTTCCTCTTAGGCCAGTGAAACCTTTCACTGTGCAGTAAAATATTCAGTATTTTACTCCATAACGCATCGTTTTGTGTCAGGGCCGCTCGGCGGCCGCTGCCTCTCCTCCGTCTTTCTCTCCTCTGCTCTCTCTATCCTGTGGGCTCTGCACCTCAGCTGTGTTGCATTCCAGTAATTAGCGACTGGTTTGTCAATGCACACAGCTGGGGTGCATCCCGATGATTACCTTCGCCTCCTTATATAAACCTCTGGCAGACGCTCCACTTTTGCCGGAACATTAACATAGTAACGCGGACTGTACATTTTGGTAGAATGCTACGCTGACAGACACTGTGCGTTTTGGCTTGACTCTACCACACTACCTACGAGCTACGCTAATTTACACTGCACTACATATTATACAGTGCCTTGCGAAAGTATTCGGCCCCCTTGAACTTTGCGACCTTTTGCCACATTTCAGGCTTCAAACATAAAGATATAAAACTGTAATTTTTTGTGAAGAATCAACAACAAGTGGGACACAATCATGAAGTGGAACAAAATTTATTGGATATTTCAAAC